AAATTCTTCATTAATAAATCCATAACAGGCCAAGTTGTAGCATACTGAATATACTGCAGTGGTTTGGACTATTATGGATTCACTATTTAAGTACAGTGGTACCTCGGGTTACATACGCTTCAGGTTACATATGCTTCAGGTTACAGACTCCACTAACCCAGAAATATTGCTTCAGGTTAAGAACTTTGCTTCAGGATGAGAACGGAAATTGTGCTCCGGCTGCACGGCGGCAGCAGGAGGCCCCATTAGCTAAAGCGGTGCTTCAGGTTAAGAACAGTTTCAGGTTAAGAACTGACCTCCTGAACGAATTAAGTACTTAACCCAAGGTACCACTGTATTTATTTATCTGACAATTATTATACTGTAATAAAAAATGTGGTTTTCCACATTGTTGTGTTTGAGCCACTAGGTGGAGAAAGCAAGCCTTCTTCCTGTACTAAATGGATAGCATTTTCAAAAGAATGCCATGCTGACCTAGAAAACTTGACAATACTTTAAGGAAGAAAGCAAATTTCTGTGTAAGTTTAACTGATAGTAATGACAGAATAGAGAAGAACACATAGAGAACACTTTTTTTTTTTGTAAGGAGCGCTTGAGTTCAACTGAAATCAAGGGTAGATAAATACAGATAAATCCTTCTGTCAATGGAACACAAATATCACTGATCCAGTGGGCAAACATTTCAGCAAGTGTGTCACAAACTAAGACCAGTGGTGCAACTCTGGCTCACACTGCAGGTTGTTTGCAAGCGGGAGCCAAGCATTGCCCTGGCACAAACTCCCAAACACATAACAGAATCCTATCCCATACATACACAAATCACAAAACAAAAGTTTCTTTTTCAATTCTGAAATTACATTTTTTACTTTTCTGTAATTATACTGCGGCCCACACTATGGCTTCCCTGCCATGCCCAAAACATTCTCTCACCCTTTCACTATTTTTGTTTAACCTGCAGCCTAAACAAGAGTCCTAAAAAGGGTATTATTTTGCAACTTTGGGGTTGGTCCTCATACAGCCCTACCTTGGTTGTCGAACGCCTTGGTACTCATACATTTTTTAGAGTGTATAAATGTTTGCAAAAACTGAAGAACTGATGGGTGTCCTTGTTCTGTTTGTTTAATCTTCTTCTGTTTCTGCTGCCTGGTTTTTATTTAGGTAAAGGTACCCCTGACCATTAAGTCCAGTCGCGGATGACTCTGGGGTTGTGGCTCTCATCTCGCTTTACTGGCCAAGGGAGCCGGTGTTTGTCCGCAGACAGCTTCCGGATCATGTGACCAGCATGACTAAGCTGCTTCTGGTGAACCAGAGCAGTGCACAGAAACGCCATTTACCTTCCCGCCGGAGCGGTACCTATTTATCTACTTGCACTTTGTGCTTTGAACTGCTAGGTGGGCAGGAGCTGGGAACGAACAACGGGAGCTCACCCCGTCGTGGGGATTCAAACCGCCGACCTTCTGATCGGCAAGCCCTAGGCTCTGTGGTTTAGACCACAGCGCCACCTGCATTTTTATTTAAACATGGCAAAATGCTGTGTGCTTGTGTGTGTGTACTAAACAACATGTAAACGAAAACACACCTATCACTCAGAATTTTGTGGTGACCTTCTCCCAACTTAAAAAGGGTATAATTAGAGGGTACATGAAAAATGAACATATTGGTGAAAATAGCACACAATAATTGCTTGTAAAAACATGTAAATATAGCATACAAAAATGTGCGTATTAAGAGAAACGCACAGTAAACTGCTGCCACGTTTTCCCCAAGGATATATCTATATACAAATACATAACACATGAACAGGGAAGCTGAAAACAACCAAAATTGACTGATTTGCTCATCATTAGTTGTTGCCTGCTAATTCCTGGAAGAAATCTAGTTTTCCTAATCAGTATCTACAATGATGGACCTTTATTGGTGATAGATGGTTTAATCCAGCCTCCCCCAGCCTGGTGCCCTCCATACGGCCGGTGCCAATGAGAGTTGAAGTCCCAAACATCTGGCAGGCACTAGGGCTGGTGAAGGTTGATTTAATCTATCCCATGCCGGGTGTTCAATGCTGCCTGGAATACGCACACCTTTTACAAACAGAGGAAGAAGTGTCATAACTTCAGGGAGATGCAAATTGCCCCCCGAGCAAATTGTCCAGCTTAGCGGAATGACTCGTGTAAACGCGTCTTTGCAGAATCAACGGCTGTGGAACTGCTCAAAAGAGAAAGCACGGCAGATGTATTTGCACGATGAATCGTGAAGGAACGTTATATAATATGGTTCCCCTTCGCTGTTCATTATATAAACACATCTGTCATGCTCCCTTTGTATCCCAGCGTTGATGTGTGCTTCCCTCCCCCCAGTCTGATCACCTGGGAAGATGAAGGCAGATCACACACAAACATTGCATGAAAGGGGATAGCTAGGCTGAGAAGAATTATGATGAATAATCTAGCTGCGTTTTGTACAAAGAGGTGTGAATTAAAGCTCTAGCAGAGCAATCCCATACATGTTTGGACAAAAGACAGCCCCCTGGAGCACAGTGAGGCTTGCTCAGAGGTGAGTGTATATAATATTGCACAGCAAGTCCCTGCTTTGTGTTGCGCTCTCTCTGTCTCTCTCTCTCTCTCTATGTCTCTCTCTGTGTGTGTGTGTGTGTGTGTGTGTGTGTGTGTGCAGAAAACGCAGTATCAGCTCCCCACTTTCTCTCTCTTTTTTGCTTCACCTCCAAGTCCTTGCTCCTGCACACATTTATCACTGTTGGCACAAAGGGAAGCCACATTCAGCTACGGACGTATTCAGAAGACCTTCAGGGACTAGAGAACTTAAGGGGCGGGGGTGCTTAACCAGCATAATGATGTGCTACTGTATTGATCACTCCAGCACTTCCCACAATTTCCCTGAGACTCGACTGCATCGCCAAGGCCTGTTTCAGAGGCTCAGACCAACCCCTTGATTAAGACAGAGTATTTTGGTGAATACCTTTGATCGGGCCAAGGTGCTTCACTGCAGGATAAGCACTGAGTTGCCACGTGGACAGTTTCTGAAGCGTTTTCGTACGGCAGCGTCCACAACCATTTCAGAGTGTTACGGAAATTACTGGGTGGGGGGGCCCACATCTTTAAATTAAATATTACAAATATTATGCCTGAATGTATCCTTTCAACTTGACAGCTCAGGGAAGTTACCTAGCTTTAAAAATAATATAAAATCATCTCCTTTCCCAGTTTCCTCCATTCCAAAGCTATTTTCCTCTTGAAAAGGACTCCAGGAAGTTCCCAGAGGTGACAATTACTGGGCTCATTGTTAGCCAAGTGAAGCCAAATCTCATCACCTGACTCGCCTCAGGCTCCAGACATGCAAAGGAACTTCTATTGTACTTTTGGGTGGTGGGTACTTAAGACATATTTGTCTATGCTAATATGTATGCCTGAGTCTTGCCCTGCCATGTCTGCTTATGCTAATCTTGTACCAAGGGCTTGTCTGGACATGTTTGCCAAGGTTAACCCCTCCCCTTTTGTGACATGTCAGTGATGTAGCAATGATGCTGTATGAACTGTATTCTGGGATATGGTGGGAAAGTTTTAAAAGTCTTTGTCACCCCATCCTCGGGGTTCAAATTTGCTCTTTGAACCTATTGCGCAATAAACTTTGGTCTACAGCTATTTGCTCTGGTTGGCTGGACTCCTTCCTTTATTCCGCAGGGACCCGCGGGCTCTGCCCGATGAGCTGGGTGACTGAGCAGCCTCGCACCTAGATTTTACCATAACAAGAGCTAGAGGTGACATATTAGTTTTAGCAGAGACACTGCCTGTGCTCCCCTGAACTGGTCCCAAAGTTTCAGGAACAGCCTGATTTTCTTCAAACTGATTTGGAGGAGACTCACGTTGCTTCAGACTACTCCTGAATCTTTTCAAACCAGACTTCTTCAGTTCAGGATTTGACCAAAGATAATTAAGTTGCGATTTTAGTTTTCGCTTCGTTAAGGCAGCCTTCTCCTGCTTAGGTCCTTTGGGGTTTATTGGAACACAGCTCTCATCCCAGCTGACTCATATTGTAGTATTAACTGAAGATGCTGGACCATTTTCAAGGGAAGCCTCATGTAAAACACATTTCCATAACCCAAACATGAGTTTACCTGAGCATGAGTCCCTGTGGCTAGACTGTCTCCACCTGTGACCAGCAAAACCAGAGGACCCTCCTCCAAGGGCCTTCTGGCACTTCCCTCACAGGGAACCAGGCAGAGGGCCTTCTGAGTAGTGGCGCCCGCCCTGTGGAACGCCCTCCCATCAGATGTCAAGGAAATAAACAACTACAGTCATACCTCGGGTTACAGACGCTTCAGGTTGTGTTTTTTCGGGTTACGGACCCACAGCAACCCGGAAGTACCGGAACGGGTTACTTCCGGGCTTTGGGGGTTGCGCATGCGCAGAAGTGCTAAAACGTGCTTTGCGCATGTGCAAAATCGCAACCCACGTGTGCGCAGATGCGCCGCTGCAGGCTGCGAACGCTACGGCTTGCGAACGTGCATCCCGCACGGATCATGTTCGCAACCTGAGCGTCCACTGTATCTGACTTTTAGAAGACATCTGAAGGCAGCCCTGTTTAGGGAAGTTTTTAATGTTTGATGTTTTAGTATGTTCTGATATATGCTGTGAGCCACCCTGAGAGGCTGGGGAAACCCAGCCAGATGGGCGGGGTATAAATAATAAAGTTGTTGTTGCTGGGTTTCATGCTTATAATGAAAACGAAAGCCTAATCAAACTTTTTTTCAGATTTCCTGTCGGTGACTCTATTTATGAGGGCCATTCTGAATTTCATGTACAATCTGAGAAATGGGGAAAGAAATTCGTTGCATTTATATCTCATTCACCGACCAACCACCTCAAGTTGGTATATATGCCGTGACTCCCCACGGTATTCTCACAGCAGCCCTGTGAAGTAGGGTAACCTTGAGACCATAGGGACTGGCTCACTGAGTTTCACAGCTGAGTAAGGATTTTAATTTGGCCCTTGCCACAGACACTCTGTCCATTATGCCACCTTGGTTGGCAAAGCTTTCAAGCGAGGTAATTTACTCTCTCTCTCTTTTAGTTTACTCTTCTTTTAGTGCTTTTAGTCTTGACACTCACGGGTAGAGCAGCCCGCTGTTAATCTGCTTCATTGCTGAGAAAATGTTTGGGTGTGCAGCCTAAAATTTGTTGCAAACGCTGATTTTGTACACGCACACCTCTGTGTTAAATGCCAGCTGCATGTGGGCCACAGTTTGATTTGCGAGCCGGCATGATGCGCGGCTGGATCTTGTTGTGAAATTGCTACAGTGCATATTTTATGCCCAAAGAATAAGGAAATAGCAGTGCAAGCTGAGCAGCTGAGAAACGCCCCTCATCTTCAGAAAGTCACTGCCACGCTGATACTAGGCCACTAAAAAGGAAGAGGAAATTTAAAAGTTTAGAATTTGATGGAGGTCTTTATTCTCTGCTTTCAGATGTTCTTAATGGTTTGAAACGTGCTCCTTTTCTTTTAGCTGCATTTTAGTGGGGTTTTTATTTTACTACTTTATTGTTTGCTGCCCTGGGCGTCTTTGGAAAGAAAGGATGGGAGAGAAATCAAATAAATAAATACCGCTTTTCCTTTGGAGGCTGTTTCTGCGCAATTTGTATCTGCAGTGGCCAGAATTCCAAGCCGAAGCCAGTGCTGCATTAAGCACGAAAACCAAGCCACTTCTCGGACAAATACAGCCAAGTATTCCCTGTATGAACTCATGCTAACCTCGGACAATCAGGCAGTGTTTCAGCCTTGCTGGCAGTAGGCAGTCAGAATTTAGATTATGAAAGATATTCACTGTCTCTCTCTCTTCCCTCCCTCCTCCGTGCACCAGCTAAGTTCCAAGTCCTTTCATGGCCCTCTCTGTTTTCCCCTTCCAACAGGGCAGCATTATGGACGCCTGTATACAAATCTACTTCAACAGTGGCACCAGTATGATCCAATTCGACCGCAGAGGGATGATCAGCTAATGGAAGCCTACACAATCGGCTTTAATTAAATAACCGAAGCATACTTCTCGTTTAGGCTGGTGCAGTGGCAAAACATTCGCGCTCTTCAAAAGAACCTTGCCCGTGCCAAGCAGATTAAGTTACTTTTGAAAGCATTTTGCCTCCTGTCCTAGCCAACTGAGAAGGGGCGGGGGGTGGAGAGGACATTGGCCACAACTGCTCACCGATTCCATCAGTAATTATGGAAATGCCAGTGAGGAGCCGTGAAAAGCTTTTTGGCCTTGCACCATAAAGCTTTAGCCTGGCTATTTTCATGTGTCTCTCTCTAGTTAGCAGCTAATAGCTGCACCAAGATGCTAATCCAAACCTAAGGGAAATGAATGCAGAATCTATCAGCTCATTTTTATTTGTATTCAGCTTTGATCGTGTGACAAATTATTTGAAAACAATAATGAGCAAGGGCAGCCACTTGCAGAAATGAAAATAGGTTATATGGTGTTTTATAGAAAGGTAAAGGGACCCCTGACCATTAGGTCCAGTCGTGACCGACTCTGGGGTTGCAGTGCTCATCTTGCTTTATTGGCCAAGGGAGCTGGCGTTTGTCCGCAGACAGCTTCGGGTCATGTGGCCAGCATGACTAAGCCGCTTCTGGCAAACCAGAGCAGCACACGGAAAAGCCGTTTACCTTCCCGCCTGGAGCGGTACCTATTTATCTACTTGCACTTTGACGTGCTTTCGAACTGCTAGGTTGGCAGGAGCAGGGACCGAGCAACGGGAGCTCACCCCATGGCGGGGATTCGAACCGCCGACCTTCTGATCAGCAAGCCCTAGGCTCTGTGGTTTAACCCACAGCGCCATCTGCGTCCCGGTGTTAATATATATACATTAAAAACACCATTTTGATTATATTAAAACTACAGTGGTACCTCGGGTTACAGACGCTTCAGGTTACAGACTCCGCTAACCCAGAAATAGTACCTTGGGTTAAGAACTTCGCTTCAGGATGAGAACAGAAATCGCACGGCAGCAGCGGGAGGCCCCATTAGCTAAAGTGGTACCTCAGGTTAAGAACAGTTTCAGGTTAAGAACAGACCTCCAGAACGAATTAAGTTCTTAACCCGAGGTACCACTGTATACAGAATCCCATTTCTAGTGGAAAGCATGAATTGGTGAAGGAGTCATCTCCTGCCCTCTGATGCTATAGCTTCCCGACACCTCCAGTTACAAGCCAGTCCTGACAGACAGGTTGACCACTGTTGTACAGTGGTGCCTCGCAAGACGAAATTAATCCATTCCGCGAGTCTCTTCGTCTTGCGGTTTTTTCGTCTTGCGAAGCACGGCTATTAGCAGCTTAGCGGCGCTTAGCGGCTTAGCGGCTTTAAGAAAAAGGAAACAAACTCGCAAGACGTTTCGTCTTGCGAAGCAAGCCCATAGGGAAATTCGTCTTGCGGAACGACTCAAAAAACGCAAAACCCTTTCGTCTAGCGAGTTTTTCGTCTTGCGAGGCATTCGTCTTGCGGGGCACCACTGTATCTAGTTTGGTCGTTTATATAGATATAAACAAAGATATACTGTATGTACATATACATATGCACACATATACAATATATGCCATTCCGTGTAACATCACCAGATGGCAGTGTGGAATTCAAATCATTCTTTACTATTTGAATTAGTTTGTACAATGCATAATCTATCCTCATATTATCAGGCTCAGGCTGGTCAATTCCACACTTCCCCCTGTTAAATATAGGTTGTTCGGTGTACAACAGTGCTGGGTTACTGGAGGTTGATAAACAGGTCTGTTTGTGGGCTTTGATTACTCAGGAACTTCTGACATCAGTTAGGAACAATGGATATAGAAAGCTGCCTGATACAGATTCCATCTAGCCTAGTAATGTCAGCACCGGCTGGCAGCAGCTCCCCAGTGTTTCAGGCAAAGGTGTCTCCCAATCCTATGCAACAATGCCATGGACTGAACCTGAGACCTTTTGTGTGCAAAGTATGCAGTCTACCTTCTGGGTACCAGTGCCTTTGGAATATGGAATTTCAAACCTTCCATGTAGTTTCACAATTACATATCTATTTGGAGGTACAGGTACACTATAACAAGCAATACTGAGCTTAATCTGAACAGAGCAATGGAGAAATTTCTGAAACAACAATGGGATATCATCTCCGCCCAAGGCATGATGGAGAACAGCAACAACTGGGAAAAGATACACATAACATTTTACAAGGCCAGGAATAAACGCCACGGACAGGATAATTGCCACACACAGGAAGAACAAGGATATAGTTTAAGTGCCTCACTTGTAGATTTATAAATCATTTAATGTGTCATGTCAACACGAATAGGAGTTACTAATATTGCAGTTGTTGTATAAGGGATTGTTATTTTGACTGGGATGTAATTGAAATTAATAAGATTCTGTAACTCAGAAATGAAGAAAATCATCAAACCATCAATTCTAGCACGTGGGAGGCCACCTAAATTATATAATTTGGTGTTTGAACAATTGGTATTAGTAATTGTATTCTAATTTGATATTGTTTTAATGAGGCTATCATTGGATTGAAATGGAAAATTAATAAAAATTATTATTTAAAAAGTACTGAGCTTAATCTGAATTTGTATCGATTGATGGATGAAATTTACTTGTACTGAAATTGATGCTGTAAATCAAATAGAGGAATGGAATACTATTTTGAAAATGGAAGAAGAAGAAGATTCATAATTATGTAGGTTACTGGAGCATTGTGGGATGCAGCCAGTTAATGCATGAATTGAGCAAAAACTCAGTCTCTCCGGTGAGGCAGGGATGGGAAACTGTCGCCCTTTAGATGCTACTAAACTCCAACTTCCATCATCCCCGATCATCATTCCAACTCCCTAATGGGAGTTTGAGTTGAAAAACATCTCAAGGTCATTCCTCATTTAGACCGTGTTCACTCTGCTAAGGCCTTGGTTACGATTATGTGTGCACATACTCCAAATGTCCTATTAACTGGCATCTGCCCGTGGTCAACCATTATTCCAGTTTCCTCTGCATTTTGTGTTTTGGAGAGATTTGGGGAGCCCTTTATAAATTGCGTTAGTACGAATTCCGAAATTTGCCATTCTTTAGGTTTCAACCCCACTCTAAATTCAAGCTGGATACTGAAAAGATGGGTTTTAGTGCTGCATCGCAGTGGTTTGACTTCACCCCCCGAGGCACACTCCATTGTTTCCTGGAGACAATTGTCTAAAATGTTTAAATTATTATTGGAATGGGAAACAAAAGATGAGCTGGCAAAATCATCAATGACTCACTGGGCAAGAGATCTAAGACGAAATATAGAATTTGACCTTTGGGAGAAATTATGGAAGGACTTAACATATATTGTATGTTACACACTGAAAAGGAAAATTACATGAAAATGATATATTGATGGTACTTAACTCCGAGTAAATTAGTGAAAATGTACAAATCTGAATCAGGTATGTGCTGGAAATGTAAAGAAGTAGAAGGGATGTTCTATCCAGGGCACAGGCAAACTCGGCCCTCCAGATGTTTTTGGGACTACAACTCCCATCATCCCTAGCTATCAGGACCAGTGGTCAGGGATGATGGGAGTTGTAGTCCGAAAACATCTGGAGGGTCGAGCTTGCCTATGCCTGTTCTATCCTATGTGGTGGTCATGCAGAACAGTTAAGGATTATTGGGGAATGATTTACAATGAGATGAAAAAGTTGTTTAAAAGAACATCCCCTCCCCCCCCCAAAAAAAACCAACCAGAGGTTTTTCTTTTAGGAATGGTGCAGATAGAAGTCAGAAAAAAACTTAATTGTGTATGCAACTACAGCAGCTCAGATTTTGTTAGCCCAAAAATGAAGGGTGGGAAAGGTCCCACAGTAGGAGGAATGGCATTTTAAAATGATGGAATATGTAGAGTTACCAGGTCTAACCAGCAGAATAAGAGAACAAGAAGACAGAGTTTATAAAGAGGAATGGATTATATTTTTTGGGGTGCAATATCTGGAAAACAGTTGTAAACAAGTGAAAACACTATCAGGATTAAGGTAAATTCAACAGTATAATTCAAGTCGAGGTAATATGAAAAAGGAGGGGAAAATAAATGGTTGAAATAGAATATGCAGTAATAATGGGAAAATTAAAAGAATCACGGAAGGAGGAGGAGGAAAGTCAATGAATGTATTGTTTTACAGTGGTACCTTGGGTTACAGACACTTCAGGTTACAGACGCTTCAGGTTACAGACTCCGCTAACCCAGAAATAGTGCTTCAGGTTAAGAACTTGGCTTCAGGATGAGAACAGAAATCGTGCTCCGGTGGCGCGGCACAGAAGGAGGCCCCATTAGTTAAAGTGGTGCTTCAGGTTAAGAACAGTTTCAGGTTAAGAACAGATCTCCGGAATGAATTAAGTACTTAACCTGAGGTACCACTGTATTGGTAGACATTTAATTGTGGGAAATGTACAATGGAAGAGACAGATGGATGCCAACAATGTGGTCTGAGTTCTTGACCAGGAGGTAGGGAAATGACCTGGCTTGGAAGGAGCAGGTCTGCAATTTGGGACTAACTCCTGGATCCGACTTTGTCAATGTGGGCTCAGGTGGCTTTTGTGACAATGAGTGCCTATTTTCAGCTACAGCTGCTTTGCCAACTCCTGCCTCTTTTGGACAGGGATGACCTGGCCGTGGCATTCCATGCTCTGGCAATTTCCAGAACGGATGATTGCAACATGCTGGGCGTGGGGCTGCCGCTATCGATGACTCAGAAACTTCAGCTGGTCTAAAAATGCAGCAACCAGATTACTGGCTGGGGTTCAATTCACAAACCGCTTAACTTCTGTTTTCAAACAAGTGCACTTGTGAAATGCTCATTCCAGACACAATTCAATTTGCTCAACAGAGTGTTAAAAGCCCTTGTTGTTGTTTAGTCATGTCCGACTCTTCGTGACCCCATGGACCAGAGCACGCCAGGCACTCCTGTCTTCCACTGCCTCCCGCAGTTTAGTCAAACTCATGCTGGGAGCTTTGAGAACACTGTCCAACCATCTCGTCCTCTGTCGTCCCCTTCTCCTTCTACCCTGCATCTTTCCCAATATCAGTGTCTTTTCCAGGGAGTCTTCTCTTCTCATGAGATGGCCAAAGTATTGGAGCCTCAGCTTCAGGATCTGTCCTTCCAGTGAGCACTCAGGGCTGATTTCCTTAAGAATGGATAGGTTTGATCTTCTTGCAGTCCATGGGACTCTCAAGAGTCTCCTCCAGCACCATAATTCAAAAGCATCAATTCTTCGGTGATCAGCCTTCTTTATGGTCCAGCTCTCACTTCCATACATCACTAAAAGCCCTAAACAGCCAAAATATCAGAAACACCGCCTCCTTCCTTTAAAGACCCTCTGAAGATTTGCACCTACCTTGGGTCAGATAATAAAGGAAATAAATAATGAGAATTATCTGAAAGTTAACTTCTGAGCGAGTCTTGATTCTACTGCATATACATGTTGTTGTTGTTTTAAAAAAACCCCTCAACAGAGTGTGCCATTTTCCTTCCCCCAAAATCTTTCATGTAACTGCCTATTAAGATAAGGAATGCTACTGAAAGTGTCTGAGTTTGCAGCGCTGGGGGGGCAGTGGCTTCGGAAATATGCAAAAGTGAGTGGGCGGAGGCAGAAACTTTGATCCCTGGTGTGTGAATAAGGCTGTTAGAAGGACACAAGAGTGGCTTTATTTTCATCTTTGAAATACTGGCGGGTGTGTGCTTGCCTGATGGAATTTGAATTCCACTTCGCAGGCCGCTGTGAATCACGATACAATGCCTGGGTTTCCTGTAATCTTATCTCTTGTGGCTCGGCACTTCTGCTACACTCAAATGCCTGGAACAGTTTTTTTTTATCCCTGAGCGCTGGGGGGAAATGACAGTGACCCTCTTTAAGAGGTCAAGCAACATTCCTCCTGTAGCAGGCTCCTACTTTGGTGGCGCAGTCGGGTACATATTTCTTTATGTTTCCTTATCCTCCTTTCCTGCACTAAAACCATTTTGCATTTTGCAAGTTACTAAGGGGGGGGGAGAGAAGCTGCTCCCTAGGGCTGCCCAGGTACATGCCCTTGTTTAGATTCCTTAAATTACAAAGAGGCACTGCTTTCAATGGTGGTTCAAGGCATCTACATGAGGCCGTCCCAGTTCCATGTCAACCAGATGTGAATAGAATTTTATTTCAACATGGGTGATGAGATGGCAACCTACCTAGCAATCTATGTAGCAGAACCACCCCCCCCCAAAAAAACTGTTGTAGTTGTTTATGTATGTAAGAGCAGCAGCTAGGAGTCTATAGGCGCAGAAATGGAAGAAATAAGAAGTTCCGACCAAACATACTATGCAGAACTGGCAAAACTTACTATGCAGAACTGGGCGCATTTTTCAGACTGTTTAAAGACATATAGTAAGATGAACTCATGAGCAGGATTTGAGCTATGAGCAACAGAAGTAATTAGATTATAATATTGTGGTTATGATTTATTAGATAGAAGATAGGGGGCAGCGGAAAGGAACAAGCAACAACTCCATGGAAAATGGGGTAGGAAGCTGATAAAAATAAGAGAAAAGATGACATTGTCTTTTGATGGTATATGCAGAAACTTAACAAAAACTAATTGGAAATGGCAACTTACTCTAAGGGACATGGGACAGAAATTAACTCAGTTCTCCACACTTTCACATGGATTTGCATTTTTTCTGATTTCACAAAAATCCATCTGCATTTTAGTGCATGTTTCCCCAATACAGTGGTGCCCCGCAAGACGAATGCCTCGCAAGACGGAAAACTTGCTAGACGAAAGAGTTTTCCGTTTTGGAGGTGCTTCGCAAAACGAATCTCCTATGGGCTTGCTTCGCAAGACGAAAATGTCTTGCGAGTTCCTGCGGTTTTTTTCCCCTCCCCCCCTTTTTCTAAGCCGATAAGCCGCTTATCCGATAAGCCGATAAGCCGCTAAAAGCCGCTAATAGCGCTAATCTGCTAATCCGTCAATGGGCTTGCTTCGCAAGACGAAAAAACCGCTAGACGAAGAGACTCACAGAACGGATTCTTTTCGTCTTGCGAGGCACCACTGTACACATATTTAATTGCAATTTTGCCTAAAGTACACATTTTTGCAAGCAGTTCTGCATAATACAATGCATCTTTCTTGGCGGTTTTTGTTAATATGTGCATTTCTATGCACCTTAATGTATAGCTTTTTGTACCCATCATTTGGCTGGAAAACTACATCACAAAAATTTGGAGAAATACAAATTTCTAGGGGGTAGCTGCATTTTGGTTTGCCTAGAGAATTGCAAAACTAAACCAAAATTCTTGCCTATCCCTGCCATCAATATGTCATTGCCATGCCTTGCCCTGCAATATCTCTGTCTCTCTCTGCCTAATGGAAGGATCATCTGGGCCCTGGCTGATTTTAACAAATACCAAACATTAAATTACGATTTTCCAACACTTAAGTGAGCATTATCATATACGGGAACAATTCATAGAATCAGAGTTGGAAGAAACCCCACGAGTCATCTAGTCCAACCCCCTGAGATGCAGGAATCTCATCTAAAGCATCCATGACAGATGGCCATGCAACCTCTGTTTAAAAACTTCCAAGGAAGACCTCACCACTTCTTGTGCGAGTCTGTTCCACTGTCGAACAGCTCTTACTGTCCGAAAGTTCTTCCCGATGTTTATTCAGAATCTCCTATCTTGTAACTTGACTCCATTGGTTCGAGTCCTACTTCCAGAGCAGGAGAAAAACAAGCTTGCTCCATATTCCATGCGACAAACCTTTAGATATTTTAAAGAGGACCATCTATCTCCTCTTTTCCATGTTTCATTTATTTCCATTTTCCATCTTTTAACTATAAACTCAGCTGCATTTAAAGCTTGTCTAGGTTATAGCTATATCCCATCTACAAAGAAAGTTAACCAGATAAGCTATAAGCAATGGAATTCATAAGACTTGAGTAGCCACAAATAGGTGTTTGACTTCACCACTGAGGTAGGTCCCAGCAAGGTCTGCCTGGTGACATTTGTTGACATCTTTTTGGCTCCAGGTAGGGACTTACCTATTTTCCTAGGCTTTTAATAGACTGGTGTTGTTTTGCTACTAGGCTGCTGCCAGAGCTTCCTGTGGCTGTTGCAGGGTTAGTTTTGTTTTGTTTTGATGGTATAATGCATTTATATTTATGTTTTTAATGTGTTGTGAGTTGCTTAGAGACCTTCAAGTAAGAAGTGACTAACAAGTGCAAATGATGATGGGTTGCTTGGAGACCGTCAGATAACAAATGGCTAACAAATCTAGAATAATGATAGATTTTAAGTCGGGCTGAGCCAAATCTTCCCACTGAAAGTTTCTCATTTGATAAGGCAGATGTTTTTATCAAGAACCTCAGCAGTCTGCAAAACAGAAACCCAACACAGACCTGCTGGGAGCCTGAGAGCCGTGCCCTGCCTCTCTCCACCTGGCTTGGGGCAGGGCCTGCTGCTGCTGCTGGACAGAGATGGCTCCTTTTTAAAATTGTTTTTATTTTTTTATCTATGTCATTTTAAATTGTTATTGCTATTAATGTTGTATTTTTTAGATTTTATGATTTATGTGGAAATTGTTATCCATTTGGTTGTGTACATTTTGTGTTTTTTTCCAAATAATTTTTATTAACAGGCCAATCAAATCACATTAATTCCAAATCACATTAATTCCAAATTACACAGCCAAATTTTTAAATTTTGTTGGGGGTACACATACTTCGAGCTCAGAAAGGGATCCAAACATCTCTCTTGCTGCTGCTTTAATGTACACAGTTCTGTCAAAATAGTATTCACAGTTCTGTTCAATCTTCTCTTTGTTATTTTCCTCATCTTCTTGTTGTTATCATATATTCCTTTCTTTGTGATCTCTGGTAGTCTCCACAAGTGGGTTGAAAACAAATGTTGTTATATCCTGTGTGGATTTTACACTCCTCCAAGAGCCATATCAAAATAGACAGACGCCATTTCCGTACCTCCGTACAAAACACTCCCAAAGTCTGTCCGTTAATTTCCACAGGCCTGCCAGTCTCTCAATTTTCTCAGGGGGCCCTGCCAGGTCAAACTCACAGTCCGATATAATAACAAACCATCGTCCTCCTCTCCCTCGATCATCCTGTGGCCAGGCCTGCCGTAACAAATCTCTTTTTAACTGCGTCACAAAGAGCTTTCATTCCTTTCCCGATGTTCCCACAAGCCATGTCTTTGATTAGTAATTTATTTCCACACAGTTCTTAATTATCCTGCTTGTAATCAGTAATTGCAATGATTCTTTCTTGGGGGTGCGGTTATTAGGGGTTGTGTACATTTTGATGTGCTTTATTGTTTATGACTTTTGTTGGTAATTATGTAAATCTTGTCACGTTGGAAGCCGCCTTGAGCATTGTTCTAACTATGGAAAGGCGGCATACAGATAAAAAATGATGATGAAATGATGATGAGTTTTAGGAGCATTGGGGATGGAAGATTAAGCTGGTCATCCTGGATGCGATGAAGTCCTCAAGTCAGTTCTAAAGAGACAAGCCCAAAGAAGCTGCTCAGCCACTTTCATATTCCCATCTACCCCTAACTATTTATCCTGCTTTTGAAACTCTTGTCAGGAAACATCTGGGATGAAAGAAGTCATGTGGGATAGGCAGGAGAGATACTGCGCCAGGACAAAGGCTTTGCAATACACATTCTGCAGAATCTGGGGTGCTGAAAGTCTTTTGAAATTTTGAGAGGCAGCAGCAAAGCTGTGCTGTGCATCAGATGCAGGTATAATTATCGTAAGGGATGCAGGTGGCACTGTGGTCTAAACCACTAAGCCTCTTGGGCTTGGCTTGCTGATTGTAAGGTCAGCAATTCGAATCCGCGCAACGGGGTGAGCCTCCATTGCTCTGTCCCAGCTTCTGCCAACCTAGGAGTTCGAAAACATACCAGTAAAAATAGATAAATAGATACTGTGGTGGTGGGAAGGTAAACGGTGTTTGCGTGCGCTCTGGCATTCATCATGGTGCTCTGTGCACCAGAAGTGGTTCAGTCATGCTGGCCACATGACCCAGAAAGCTGTCTGCGGACAAACGCCAGATCTATTGGCCTGAAAAGCAAGATGAACGGTGCACCCCAGAGTCGAATTTGACTGGACTTAACCATCCAGGGGTCCTTTAGGTTTTTCCCCTTGCAATTCTAGTAAACCTCTTTAAACTTAGAGAAGATAGGGGGCACTAATGCAGAATTGATATGTGTTCTGATAATGTATAAATAATTTGTTGTAGTTTAGTCGTGTCCGACTCTTCGTGACCCCATGGACCAGAGCACGCCAGGCACTCCTGTCTTCCACTGCCTCCCGCAATTTGGTCCAACTCATGCTGGTAGCTTTGAGAACCCTAGCCAACTATCTCGTCCTCTGTCGTCCCCTTCTCCTTGTGCCCTCCATCTTTCCCAACATCAGGGTCTTTTCCAGGGAGTCTTCTCTTCTTATGAGGTGGCCAAAGTATTGGAGCCTCAGCTTCAGGATCTGTCCTTCCAGTGAGCACTCAGGGCTGATTTCCTTAAGAATGGATAGGTTTGATCTTCTTGCAGTCCATGGGACTCTCAAGAGTCTCCTCCAGCACCATAATTCAAAAGCATCAATTACTGCAATAATTACTATGGGCTAAAAGAAGTACCGTGGAAGACAGGAGTGCCTGCCGTGCTTGGTCCATGGGGTCCCGAAGAGTCGGGCACAACTAAATGACTAAACGAAAGAAGTACAGCCATCTCAACAGAGTGGGGAAGACTGAGACCAGGTAACATGTGTGCTCCTCAGCCTGCTGTCCAAGTACCAGGGGTGCCAGCTTGAATAAATTATTGGGGGGGCAGGCAATCCCCTCTCTGCATAATCAATCACAAGACACGGTGCACACACAGCATTTGAATGGCAACGCCTATCAACATTGCCCCTCCCCGGCCCCCTCAAATATTTTATGGAGGGCAAAGAGACCTTGGCCCCTAGGAGTTGGCTCCTATGCCAGGTACTGTATTGTTGATGGGGCAGCTGCCAGTCCATTGTTCTCCCTTCGTTGGTTATTTAAATTGGGCTTTGCCCTTCTGAACTTCCTCAAATAGAGGACTGCTCGCTATAAAGTGAGTCACACGGCTATATAAGGAAACTGGAGAGGGCTGGTGGTGTGTAGAGAGGTGGGATAGAACGAGTCCAGGGATGAACTCAAGATTTACAAGAAAGCAAGAGAAGATGAAGTTTCCGCTTAGGTCCCTTTCCATGTTTTGAACAGCAGCTCTACAATTGTTATGATGCTCTTATTCACCTGTGCCTCTGTGCTGCATGCTAAGTGGCTGAACATAAGAAGACATCTGCTGGACCAGAACCAATGCCCATCTATTGTGGCTTCCTGTTCCCACTGTAGCTAGCCAGATGTCTATGAGAAGCCCACAAGCAAGACCTGGGCACAACAGCAGTCTCCCCATGTGCTACTGGTTTTCAGAGGCAAACTACCATTGGAGGTTGTACATATCTGGACGCCATTAATAGCTTAATTTTCCATGAATTTATGAACAAGCATAGCTTGATTGCCCTTGACAACCAAAACCCACCTCTCCCACATCAGATCTCTAGGGAAACAGTAACCACCTTGAGAAGTTCACAGAGCCCAAACCCCTGTTGAGTTCAATGGGACTTATGCCAGGTAAGACCGTAGAGGACTGCAGTGCTGTCTCAAACTGTTTTATTCTTATCCTACACGTAGGGGTAAGTCATAACTGGCGAAGTCATTGCCTCTGACCATCAGCTCTCAAGGAGACACCCCATAGACTATCAATAGCCATTGCTTCAGGGCAGAGAAATCTGAAAGTTAGCAAGTCTCCAATGATGTCCACCTTTAGTAACCAAATACAGTCGTACTTTGGAAGTCGAACGGAATCCGTTCTGGAAGTCCGTTCTGGAAGCTCCTGCAGCCAATCGGAAACTGCGGAAGCCCCATTGGACGTTCAGGTTCACGTTCCAAAGAACGTTCACAAACCAAAACACTCACTTCTGGGTTTTCGGTGTTTGGGAGCCAAAATGTCTGAGTACCAAGGTGTTTGGGATCCAAGGTATGACTGTATGGGTAAGCGCTGCATCCTCAAGACAACACTTGGAGATGTGGGCTGAACAGGAGAACTTAATAGCTTGCAGAAATAACCAAAGGAGTTTACTTTTTTTCAAAAGTAATTTCGCCATAATTATTGCTGCTTATGAAACAACTAGGAAGTTGCCCATCAACCACTGTCCTTTCCTTTTTCTTGTTGTTGTCTTGGTTGGCATATGGTTGCAAATGGAGCACTACTTTTTCACATTCATGAGCTTCGACTGAAGTTCTTCGAGTTGCTCAGTAGCCAGGCTGATTTATGTCTTGGCTTTCTGCATGATATCACACAATTATCTCCAGATGGAAAAATGGCAAAGGAGGAGTGCCAAAGAATATTAGCCCTTAAAAGTACTCAGCCATTACAATCCATTTAATCCTGTGATTATTTTTGTTTTGACTTCACATATCTGGAAGCACAAAACCAGTTTCCTTTTGGGGAAAGCGTGACTTTCTGTCATCCAAGATACTGTTGAGCGGCGCTCCCTCAGACCAAACGTCAAAATAGACTTTGACCAATGGCAGGCCAGCCTGACCTAGGCACTGGGGTCAGCTGACTTAATTAGAGCGCCATTTATCAAATTGCTCTCAGTCCATTTACCCTCTTCTGTACAGTCGTACCTCGTGTTATAGACTGGATCCGTTCCAGAGGCCTGTCTGTAACATGAAACACCAGCAACTCAACAGGCACGCGGCATAATTTGGCGCTTCTGCGCAGGCGCAAGCGGCGAAACCCGGAAGTAACCCATTCCAGTACTTCCGGGTTGCCTCGGGACGCAAGATGAAAACACGCAACCTGAAGCGGATGAAACATGAGGTATGACTGTATTGCTCTACTAGTTCTGACCCAGTAATAAAGTCCCATAAACCTGCTTGATGAATTTGTTGCACAAGTAAAAGCTCATCGTGTGCTGCCCACGGTAATCTGAATCAATTGGCCTTCCTGAACCGATTCCTACTAAAGCTAACTCAACTCACATGAACTCTATACTCTAACAGCATTTTAATAAGTGTCACAGGTACCCTGTTGGCAAGATGTACGACAATATAGGCAAAGTTTCCAGGTGTTTTGAGACAGGGAAGATATGTAATGTGCATTATGTGCCCCCAATACTGGGCTGGCCCCAGACTAAGTTGGTTGCACTTAGGCCCCAATGAAATCAATGAGACAAGTTGGTCATTATGAATTTCACTGGGGATGATGTGCAACCAACCTAGTCTGGATCCAGCCCATTGAAAGGATGTGATGGAAGTCATCATAATTAAGCAAGCGTACAACTGATCTCGAGTGTTATTTGTTTCCATCCACGGAAGCTGTTTCAAACTTGGATGGTTTAGATATAATTTCTGTAAGATAAAACAACAAAGAACAATTGTTTGCCATGCTGAAAAACACACCCATACGCACAATGTTGAGAGTTGTCACGAGCTGCCTTTTAAAAATTTTGCTGCACCACAGCAGCACTACATTAGTGGGACTGTGCGGTATTAAAATAGCATCTCCCAGCCGCTCAGCTTCAATTCAGGTCACTGCTGGACCTTCAAAATGCTGCCTGGCCTTAAGTCAGATAGGTACAGTGGTGCCTCGCAAGACGAAATTAATTCGTTCCGCAAGTCTCTTCGTCTTGCGAGTTTTTCGTCTTGCGATGCACGGTTTCCCATAGGAATGCATTTAAAAACAACTAATGCGTTCCTAGGGAAACCGCCTTCAGACCAGGTCCGGGGACTGTCTGTCCCCGGACCTCTTCTGAAGGCTGGGGGGCAAGGGCTTTTCTTCCCACCCCCAGCATTTTAAAAAACCCCGGGACAGCGGAGGACTTCTCCGCTGTCCGGGCGATCTTAAAATGCTGGCGGGCGGCATTTTAAAATCACCCCGGGACAGCGGAGGACTTGGACCTCTTCTGAAGGCGGGCGGGGGGCGAAAGTCTTTGCTCCCCCGCCTCAAAGCCCTCCGGGACAGGCAGGCAGGGGGAGCAAAGACTTCGCCCCCGCCCGCCTTCAGAAGGTCTTCCCTCCCCCGCCCGGCTCGGAGCACCGCTCCGAGCCGGGCGGCGGCGGGAGGTCTTCCCTCCCCCGCCCGGCTTCGGAGCACCGTCCCGAGCCGGGCGGCGGCGGAGGTGTTCCCTCCCCGCCCGGCTCGGAGCACCGCTCCGGCCGGGCGGCGGCGGAGGTCTTCCCTCCCCCGCCCGGCTCGGAGCACCGTCCGAGCCGGGCAGAGGCGGGAGGTCTTCCCTCCCCACCGCCCGGCTCGGAGCACCGCTCCGAGCCGGGCAGAGGCGGGAGGTCTCCCTCCCCCGCCCGGCTCGGAGCACCGCTCCGGGCCGGGCAGCGGCGGCAGGTGTTCCCTCCCCGCCCGGCTCGGAGCACCGCTCCGGCCGGGCGGCGGCGGAGGTCTTCCCTCCCCGCCCGGCTCGGAGCACCGCCCGGGCCGGGCGGCGGCGGGAGGTGTCCCTCCCCCCGCCCGGCTTCGGAGCACCGCTCCGAGCCGGGCGGCGGGGGAGGTCTTCCCTCCCACCGCCCGGCTCGGAGCACCGCCCGAGCCGGGCGGCGGCGGCAGGTGTTCCCTCCCCCCGCCCGGCTCGGAGCACCGCCCGAGCCGGGCGGCGGGGAGGTCTTCCTCCCCACCGCCCGGCTCGGAGCACCGCCCGAGCCGGGCAGCGGCGGAGGTCTTCCCTCCCCCGCCCGGCTCGGAGCACCGCCCGGGCCGGGCGGCGGCGGCAGGTGTTCCCTCCCCCGCCCGGCTCGGAGGAGCCTTCCGAGCCCGGCGGCGGCGGGAGGAGGTGTCCCCGCCCCGCCGCCGGGCTTCGGAGGAGGTCCGAGGACAGTGGGGAAGACGCGCTGCGCTTCCCCGCTGTCCCTGAGATTTCCCTATGGGCTGTCGTCTTGCGAAGCAAGCCCATAGGGAAATTCGTTTTGCGAAGCGCCTCCAAAACGGAAAACCCTTTCGTCTAGCGGGTTTTCCGTCTTGCGAGGCGTTCGTCTTGCGGGGTACCACTGTACTTGCACATATACAGGGGAAGCGGGCAGCACTGAGCCAACAGTCAAGAAATATTCCTACCAAAATGCTTCCCTCATTCTGGGTATGCTCATGCTTGTGAGATGATAATCCACCTCCAAGGATTGGCGAAGCAGATAGCTAGCTCCCTGCTGATATCTTCATCGAGTTGTTGTCTTTTCCTTGACAGCCATGTGGACGAATTTATAACGAATTTGTTTCGCTTCCTGGATATTAAAATTCAAACCATCCACAACAAACCCATTCACACCATCCACAACAACCCATAACCACTGGTCAATGAGCAGAGTAAATGAACAGAATCCTAAACCATAACATGATGCAAGGCGACAGACGACAACCAAAATATCCAGGTTTGGTTCGCTCTCTTCTCTCAAACAAATGTTCAGTGTATACTAATAGGGACAAGTTACTATCTATCTATCTATCTATCTATCTATCTATCTATCTATTTCAATCAACCTTTGGGCTCAACTGCATTTCATTTGGAGGAAGATGCAATCCCCAAAGTCAAAGAAATGAAAAGGGAGTTTTTTCAGAAGCATTTTCAGCTTTAACCATGAAGGGTCATGTGAGATATGCCATTAAACCACTCAGCTTTATTTGTGATAAATAATTGTATTTTTGTTTTTATCTTCTTTTTACACTCGCTTTCAGGGGGAAAAGTATTTTAGGGGGGAAAGTCGTGTTTTTATTGTTTTTTATGCAAATTGCTTACAGGTTTTAATTATATGAAGTGGTACTTTTTTATTAATAGTTAATTAAACACCATTTAATTAGGCCCAATAGTCATCTTGTCTTGTGTGCGGTAGCCACCTCAAACCCACTTTCTCAGTGTCTCCTTCATTACATCAGGGGGGGAACGAAATGGGAAACCTGACAAAAGACCCAGATCGCGGCACTCACAGAAATTCCTCCACAATAAATTCCCATTGAAATGCAATCTAGTATGCCATTTCATCGGACTGTGTGATATCAATAGGATCCAGACGAGGTCATTGAAGATGTTTCTCTCCAGAGTAGCTCAATGCTTCCTTGCTTTTAATTAATTTACAGATGCAACTTAAAAGCACCAAGGCACAACAGGGTGTCGGATAAAGAGGGCTCCTGGTGTGCTTCCTGAGGGGACAAGGTAATTGGTCTATGGTCCGCTGCATAGTTATGTGCCAATAGCCTCTTATTAAAATCTCTCAGCCTGGGAAAAGTTAAGCAACCACCCAAAACAGAATGGGAAAATGTGGGATCTGTTGGCTCGATAGAGAACCAAAGTGATGCAGCCATTTGCGTGTCGAGGTCTCCCCATAGCCACCCTCAAATAAAGAGACAATTCACACAGAATTTTGTTTAAAGGTTTTTGGCATAATTTTTGGCCACAGCTTTGTTGATTACAGCATGTGAGTGGTTGCATTGGTTCGTGAGTATCTGTTCTAGCCTAGAGGTAGGAACAGAACTGACATCTGCAAGCCTGCGAAAGTCAGTAAGGGAAAACATTTTGGGGAGAAAATGGAACTGGGCGCCAGGCTCTCACCTCTCCCCAAATACTCCCAGGGGCTCTTGCGTAACCCAAGCCCCTTGACAGGGGTTTGGACAAGAGCATGGCGAGTCCCTGGATTCCCTTAATGGAATATCCTTGCAGCAGCAGCATTGGAGGGGCAGGCACATCCAACCATACCCCCCTAACCCTAACCCTAACCCTACCAACCAAAATTAACCAATGCCTAACCACTGTGGGTTAAACCACAGAGCCTAGGACGTGCCGATCAGAAGGTCAGCAGTTTGAATCCCCGTGATGGGGTGAGCTCCCGTTGCTCGGTCCCAGCTTCTGCCAACCTAGCAGTTTGAAATCACGTCACAGTGCAAGTAGATAAATAGGTACTGCTCCGGAAGGTAAGGTAAATGGTGTTTCCGTGCACTGCTCTGGTTCACCAAAAGTGGCTTAGTCATGCTGGCCACATGACCCGGAAGCTGTCTGTGGACAAACACCAGCTCCCTCGGCCAATAAGGCGAGTTGAGCGCCGCAACCCCAGAGTCGGTCACAACTGGACCTAATGGTCAGGGGTCCCTTTACCTTTAACCACAACCTTACAAGTTGTGATGATTTGCTACGCGGTAGGCAAAAACCAAATTGCACCAGCCAATCAGCCAAATGGCAAAATTCCTACCAGGCCCCTGCCCCGAAAGCAGACAACCTCATGACAGACATAGCAAGGTCAATGCGAACAGCCCTAAATATAGGGAGGGTGGGCGGGTGATCTAATGCATGCAGCGAAAAGAGGAAGCTCAATGCTGCACACAGGGAATAAATAGCTCCTCATCAGTCACTCATAAAATTGCTACACCAAATTCTCCCCAACGACTGAGATGTGCCCAATCAGAAACATGGCCATCTATCCTAACCCACCCACCAACAGAGGGATGTCTTGGTTGCTCCCACCGCAACACGTGCTCTCCATGAAGGAGAACCCGGCCTAGACTTTGACCAGAAAGGCCCGAGTTCAATGTGTCCCCCCACTGAGTCACAAAGCATACTTTTCTGAGGATAAAGCAGAGAACACACTGGTTGACTTGACTCCAACATGGTTAAGTTCCCAACTGGGATGCACGTCTTCCAGTTCGTGCTCCCATGAGAGTCATGTGACCCACGTGAGATCACAGGGCCCAAAATATGTGCTGCTTTCGGGGCCATGCTCTCATGTTGCATGAAAACCCATGTCTTGGTGGCAAAGCATGAGCTCACAATCCAGAGAAAAGCACTTTTTCAGGGCTGGGTCTCAGCGCAAATTTATGCGAGATCACAGTGCCCAAAATGGCCGCCGTACTCTCGCAGGAAAGAAACGTTTCTTTTTCTGGGACACTTGCGGGGTATGGAATGAAGGGCAAGAGTAAAATCACAGTAAAAAATGGGGGGATGCCTTCAACAATAGTGGTGATCTAGACTGCCACAGTCCAAGTCTGAGGGCGGTAATACTGGAGACTGAATATTTAAGTACAGTGGTACCTCAGGTTAAGAACTTAATGGAGGTCCGTTCTTAACCTGAAACTGTTCTTAACCTGAGGTATCACTTTTGCTAATGGGGCCTCCTGCTGCCATCGCCCCACCGGAGCAAGATTTCTCTTCTCATCTTGAAGCAAAGTTCTTAACCCGAGGTACTATTTCTAGGTTAGCGGAGTCTGTAACCTGAAGCGTCTGTAACCTGAAGCGTCTGTAACCTGAAGCGTCTGTAACCCGAGGTACCACTGTACCCTTTTTCTTTCTTGAGTATGAGGGTCTGGAGAACTCTCCTGCTCCCAGGGTAGCACCAGGAAGAGAGGAGCCTTTCCCACTCTGGGGCCCTCCAAAATTTTTGGAGTACAACCAGGCCATTGGCCCCAGACAGCACAGCAGGATTTTTGCAGCAATCTGGGCTAGACAGGCCACAGGACCAGCGAAGAACAGAGCCATTTGAAGACGCTGCAAGCTGGATCCTCAATTTCAAAGTGAGATGGTTAAATAGGTTTGGAACAAGATGGAGATAGACTGAAACTGCAGAGTTTTGAGAAACTAAAAAATAAAGTGCGAGACTGGCTTCATTATTATCAGATAATGGAGGCATACAATTTGGACAAGAAAATTGGCTTCCAGGTGGAAAAATCAAAATTAGAAACAGAACTGTTAGAACCCAAAACTAAGATTTTGTCAAAGATGTATAACTTGCTGTTGAAATGGAATACTCAGGATGAAACGGTGAAATCTGCTATGATTAAATGGGCACAAGATTTTGGACATAACATTATGTTTGCTGACTGGGAACAGTTGTGGACCACAGGTATGAAGTTTACGGCATGTAATGCTTTAAGAGAGAATATTATGAAAATGATATACAGGTGGTACATGACCCCAGTCAAGCTTGCAAAAATTTATCATTTGCCCGATAATAAATGTTGGAAATGTAAAGAAACTGAAGGTACATTCTTTCACCTTTGGTGGACGTGCCCAAGGATTAAGGCTTTCTGGGAAATGATATATAATGAACTGAAAAAGGTATTTAAACATACCTTCTCGAAGAAACCAGAGGCCTTTCTCCTGGGCATAGTCGGCCAATTGGTGCCAAAGAAGGATAGAACCTTTTTTATGTATGCCACAACAGCAGCAAGAATACTCATTGCAAAGTATTGGAAGACACAAGATCTACCCACTCTGGAAGAATGGCAGATGAAGCTGATGGACTATATGGAATTGGCAGAAATGACTGGCAGAATCCGAGACCAGGGAGAAGAGTCGGTGAAAGAAGACTGGAAGAAATTTAAAGACTATTTACAGAAATATTGTAAAATTAAGGAATTTTAGAAGGATGTTGGATAGAAACTAAGTGGTTTCCAGCTGTAATGCTTTAAGAGATACGAAAACAGGTTTATAAATGGGTAAAAGCTTAATGGTAAGGATTTGCTGAACTAACAAACTGAACTGGAATACAAAAAAGGGAGGTACGAGGAGGTCCGGGGAAATAAGTGTAAGGAAGATATGTTATGGAAAATTAACGTGTTTTTAACTGTTTTTTATTTTGTATGTTTCTTTTTATTCTTCATTTTTTTTGTTATATCTTAAAAACTTTATTCTTTTTTCTGTATTTTGTATTGTCTTGTATTTTTATCTTTTGTTTTTGTATTCTTTGAAACTTTAATAAATATCATTAAAAAAAAAAAAGAGATAGATGGTTAAATAGGGAGGGGGAATCTTCCCAATAGGGAAACAGTAATTCCGTTTTGTGTTTATGCTCTGGTTTCTGCTGCTACTCCACTTCATGCATGGATAGTAAATGGCAACACCTTGAAACACAACTTTCATCTCCTTCGCCTGTTTTCTCTGTGTGTTCAGAGACAAGGGAAACAGATGAGCAACGAAGTCAGGGGGCAGATGAGCCACAATATACAGCTGCACATCTGTCAAATCCCCTCAATCATCCATTTGATCACGTTGCTTTCAAGGCTCGCAAAGATCAAAACTCTGTTCCCACAGCAAGCCTCTGAGGAGGCAACCATTGAACTCCATCAGAGAGAGGCAGAAGGAAATTGATGAGCTGGTGTCCTCCCGAATAAAAGCTGTTTTGGAGCTGGTGAATCAAGTAGCAAGGGAAATGGACAGGTTTTGTGTAGGAACATTGGGGCTTTATATTATATTAATCATCATCATCATCATCATTTATATATATACATACAGTGGTACCTTGGTTCTCAAACTTAATCCATTCTGGAAGTCTGTTCCAAACCTAAAGCGTTCCAAAACCAAGGCACGCTTTCCCATAGAAAGTAATGCAAAACGGATTAATCCATTCCAGACTTTTAAAAACAACCCCTAAAACAGCAATTTAACATGAATTTTACTATCTAATGAGACCATTGATCCATAAAATGAAAGCAATAAACAATGTACTGTACTATGACATAAATAAAAGAGTATTGTAGATGATGAAAATTTAAAAAATATATAAATTCTTGCCTGCACTAATGATAGTCATTGTTTGGATGGGGGGCTTTTATCCATTTCCTCAGCCACACAATCAATCAATCAATCAATCAATCAGTCAATCAACCAATCAGTAGCTGAACTGTGATCCAAAACAAATTAACTCAAAAAGCCTCAAAACAAAAAACGCAAAATAAATAGCAAAAACAAAAGCACCAAATATAAGCTCCAAGAGCACCGCAATCGGAAACGGAAGGCTTGAATTACAATGGGGGGCTGCAAATGAGCAGCGCAACAGGAAACACAGGGGGACTCAAAACGGAGCTAGAAAAAAGTTCAAGAACCGGAACACCTACTTCCAGTTTTGCAGCTTTCTGGTTCCAAGTTGTTCGTGAACTAAGCTGTTCAAAATCTGAGGTACCACTGTAGATATAAACACACACACACACACACACACACACACGACAATGAACAAGCTTTCTTCACAATTTCCCATTATAGCAGGATAGGCTTTCCCAGCATGTAAGTGGTCTGCCTATAGGGGATGCCACAAACTTCCATACACACGTCATAGAATTGTAGAGTTAGAAGGGACCGCAAGGGTCATCTAGTCCAACCCCCTGCAATGCAGGAATCTTTTGCCCAATGTGGGGCTTGAGCCCACAACCATGAGATTAAGAGTCTCATGCTCTACCAACTGAGCTAAGTCTTGATAGATAGCAAAGCAAGCAAGACAAAGAGCAAACTGGTCTTTCCAGGTAAGAATGACTTCTCTGAGCTACCGGCTCTTCTTTACTTCCCAGCCATTGGGTACCATTTTGGTAATCGAATGAATGGTGATCAACGTCGTACAGTACTAAGATATCCTACGTAGCAGCCAACGCCAACAAGGTGCCTTCTAGATGACTGAGATTACAACTGCCATCAGCTCCAGCCAGTACATGGCAACTGTAGTCCAGAACAGGTCAGTGAAGGCTGCTATATACTAGAAGTGAACTCTGTTTCCAAAAGTTCATCCTTATGGGGTAAAGGCACATGGAAAAGATATCAGCAGGTACAGTGGTACCTCAGGTTACATACACTTCAGGTTACAGACTCCGCTAACCCAGAAATATTACCTCGGGTTAAGAACTTTGCTTCAGGATGAGAACAGAAATTGTGCTCTGGCAGTGCGGCAGCAGCAAGAGGCCCAATTAGCTAAAGTGGTACCTCAGATTAAGAACAGTTTCAGGTTAAGAATGGACCTCCAGAACAAATTAAGTACTTAACCCGAGGTACCACTGTATATATGGGACGCGGGTGGCGCTGTGGGTTAAACCACAGAGCCTAGGACTTGCCGATCAGAAGGTCAGCAGTTCGAATCCCCACGACGGGGTGAGCTCCCATTGATCGGTCCCTGCTCCTGCCAACCTAGCAGTTCGAAAGCACGTCAAAGTGCAAGTAGATAAATAGGTACCGCTCCGGTGGGAAGGTAAACGGCGTTTCCGTGCGCTGCTCTGGTTCGCCAGAAGCGCCTTAGTCAGGCTGGCCACATGACCCAGAAGCTGTACGCCGGCTCCCTCGGCCAGTAAAGCAAGATGAGCGCCGCAACCCTAGAGTTGGTCACAACTGGATGTAATGGTCAGGGGTCCCTTTACCTTACTACTGTATATGGGAGTCCCAACATGGCAGAGAGGTTGAAATGGAGTATCCGCAAAAAGGATGTGACTGGCAGGCTGGGAAGAAGCATTGCACAGTATGACATTTTGTTGCAGGTCCCACTTGTCAGCAGGAATGCCATCTTTCTGAGAGTGGCTTTGAGCCATCAGCAGCTGCACGACAGGCAAACATTTTAACAGATGCAGCTTTCCCCGACACTGCATATTCAAAAGATGAATCTGAACGTGTGAAATAACAAAGATTAATGACTGCCAGTAGAATTTTCTTAGTAAATGAATGGATTAATTGCCCACAAAGCCAAGCTTGTCAAGTGATAATCTTACTATGTACCTGTTGGCATTGTAAACGGACCTGCTTGGATAGATAAAGGAATTTTTTCGCCCAACAGCATAGATCTGTTAAAGCTGTTAGTCATGGTACGGGATGTACATATCCATCTTTCTTTCCAGTGTCTGTAATTCTTTGAGAGCCAAGTGGGGATTGGCAAATTTGTCAGTTTTCTACATTTCTCATTTTTCAAATCATAAATTCAGCATATGTACAGCTATTTGGGAATTTTGTAAATAAAATTAAAACCCTCGGAAAAAGCCATCAGTATTTCAGATTGATCTTTTCCTAGCACAATTTTACACAGTCTCGACGAATATGCACAATTTTTCTAGCAATTTTCCCTACCGTAATTCATGCTTGTGTGTCATTTTCACCAATATATGCATTTTATGCAAACTGGTACGTGCACTTGGGGGCACATAATCTTGGCTAGGAACTGCGTTGCAAAATTCAGCGAAGTGCGGCTTTCAAAGGATAGCTGTATTTTGGTTTGCATCTTGTTTCAAACAGTGCTAATTAAGCCAGGGAGAATGAACATGACATGAGGATGCAGCCCTGTGGCTACTGGAACATGCTGCTTGGCCCTGAGCCAACTTCTTTCACTTTTAAGCCCCCCCCCTCATTTCAGCCTGAATTTTCTGCATGCCTCTGTCTTTGTTTGCCTTATGGTGAAAGCACATGGTACTGCATGTTGACTGACAGTGAAGCGATATAGGAGGATATATTTTCAGCTTGGGCAATGAGATGCCCATGTCTCATTAACAAGAAGAGGGCCAGTATTGCTTTCCCCCACCCCACTAAATAAATCTACTAGCAGAAAGCCTATCCCTTGATGAGCAACAGATGGGGTTTCCATAATGGCTCATTACCTCCTTGCTTTGTCATGCTGCTAAAATGAAATGAAACGTTATTTATGGTTAGAAATGATGCGCAAGATTCCTACACAACTTTCCCCCATTGTTGTTGTTGTTTTGGATGAGCTTCCATTCCAAAGCTTCTCCTGGGACTAACAAATTTGAGGAGCTGGCAAAAGGCCCGTTGGGAATTGCAGAAGTGCCCCTTCTGTCTAACTTTTAAAAAACGCAATCTCAAGTCTCCAAAGTGAAGCTCCAGTTCTGCAAATAAACTGGAAATCTGCACATTCAGAACAGAAAAGCTGCCACTTGTCGCCAAATGCCTTTTGTCAGTCGTCCTCTGCGATTGGGAAGGGCTATCACATCTGAATGGCTGCAGAAAGCAGTAACCACCAACGATGGATTTGGTTGGGAACGTGTCATTTAGGGCAAGGTTGGGCAACAGCTGCGATCTGCGAGCCACAATGAATGTGGATAATGAGCTTGGGAGCTATGACTGATTGGCATATTTGTTGTGGCATGCCGTTAGCATAATGCAAGTACTGCTTTCACAGATGAGTTTGATGTCAAGAGAGAGTCAGTCAAGCATCCCAAGATTTGCGTCTCTTGCTAAATGAACGGGCTCCGAATAAGCCCACGTTACAAATACTAAAAGTTAGCAGTCCACAACCATTTAAATGAACTTGCTTGAAGTTGCATATACACCTACAACCCAGTTCTCATCTAGAATCATAGTTGGAATGGACTCCATGGGCATCTAGTCCAGCCGCTTGCAATGCAGGAATCTTTTGCCCAAGGTGAGTAGGTTTAGCTCGGAAAAGAGAAGACCGAGGAGAGATATGATAGCCATCTTCAAATATCTCAAGGGCTGTTACATGGAAAGTACTTTTCTGCAAACATTTTTACAAAGCCTTGTGCAAGAGGTTGGATATGTAGATTTTTGTACCCGTCCTACGGCAAAAAAGAAGCTAATTTTATTCTAGGCTGCATCAATAGAAGTATAGTGTCTCGATCAAGGGAAGTGATAGTCCTGCTCTGTTCTGCCTTGGCCAGTCTCCACCTGGAATACAATGTTCAGTTCTGGGTACCACCATTTAAGAAGGATATTGACAAGCCGGAACATCAAGATGATCAAGGCTCTGGAAAGTGTGAACAAGATGATCAAGGGTCTGGAAAGCCTTATGTGGAATGGTTGAGGGAAATAGGTATGTTGGTGAAGAGGAGGCTAAGAGGAGATATGGTAGCCATCTTCAAACATCTCAAGGGCTGTCACATGGAAGAGAGAACAAGCTTGTTTTCTCCTGCTCTGGAGGCTAGGGCTCGGACCAATGGCTTCAAGTTGCAAGAAAGGAGATTCCAACTAAACATGAGGAAGAACTTTCTGATGGTAAGAGCTGTTCAACAGTGGAGTGGTCTCCCTCAGGAGGTTGTGGACTCTCCTTCCTTGGAGGTTTTGAAGCAGAGGTTGGATGGCCATCTGTCATGGATGCTTTAGCTGAGATTCCTGCATCACAGGAGGCTGAACTAGACAACCGTTGGGGCTCCTTCCAGCCCTACAATTCTATGATTCTATGCATGTGGGGTTCAAACCTGCACCCCTGAGATTAAGAGCCTCATGTTCATCCCAGGGAGTAAACAGGACCCACGAAGCAGCCCTATTTGTGCCTCTTCAAGACTATTGGGAGCGATTTCAGCACTGCGGCCTTTGAAATATAATAAGAGCCAGCTTGATCGGACCAAATGACCATCCACGTCTGGCATCCTGTTTCCCACAGTGATTAAGCTGATGTCCTGGAAAAGCCCGCAAGCAGGACATAGAGGCAAAGGCCTTGCCCTGAGACTGCTCCCCAGCAGCTGGGACACAAGAGGTATAATAGCACCAAGCCAGCCAAATACTCAGATGATTTAATCGCGCTTGCTCAGGAAGTATCTGACCTAAGCGAGGCAAAGTTTGCTCGCTTCCCTCAGAAATCTAAATAGGGGTGATCCGATCTTTTTCATATTTTTAACCTTGGCTGCAGTTCCTCGGACTCACTGAATCTGGACGGAAGGAACCCATCTGGCCTCTCTGAAGTGCTTCACAGAGAAACACAGCCTTTTCCCTGTCGAGAGTGAGGGCGGGGGCATGGTGTGGGGGGCCCAGGGGGTGCAGTGTCCAGAGTCCTAGGTGCAGGATTTTGAGGGGGCGTGAGCCATCCTGCTCTGCCTGCCACCGGGGGTCTCCATTGTAAATCAGCCAAATGGATTGGCAGCTGAATCTAACTTCAACACCTGTGGGTGGCAGGTTAGTTGAGAGATCTGCATTGGCTCCCAGTACGTTTCCGAGCACAATTCAAAGTGTTGACCTTTAAAGCCCTAAATGGCCTCGGTCCTGTATACCTGAAGGAGCGTCTGAGATCCAGCGCCAAGGGCCTTCTGGCGGTTCCCTCGTTGCAAGAAGTGAGGTTACAGGGAACCAGACAGAGGGCCTTCTCGGTAGTGGCGCCCGCCCTGTGGAACGCCCTCCCACCAGATGTCAAAGAGATAAACAACTACCTGACATTCAGAAGACATCTTAAGGCAGCCCTATTCAGGGAAGTTTTTAATGTGTGACATTTTAGTGTATTTTTGGTCTCTGTGGAAGCCGCCCAGAGTGGCTGGGGAAACCCAGCCAGATGGGCGGGGTACAAATAATAAATTAATAATAATAATAATAATAATAATAATAATAATAATAAGGTGAGCCAGGTCAGGCTGTGGAGCACACCTCACTCTGCAACAGAGGGGAATAACTGGAAAGTGGTGCAACTCTGCTATGTATCACTGCCCTCCATCCTTATACTGACCTCCTGGCTCTTTTCATTTCTTCCCATGTTTCTTTATAGTACTGCAATGCAGCAGTCTAAGATTAATATATTCCCTACGTGCACTTGTGCTGAAATATCCTTCCAGATTTGTGGGAAAATGCCTCTTGCAGATTGTTTAGCATATAATGCATAGGTGATCACAGGATATTCTGCATGTTTCCTCTCTGTGCTGATTAGAAAGGAGCATAATAAATAGATGGAGAATTGGCGATGGGGGATTTTGCTTTTGCTAAATATGTTCAAATGGTGTTCCTTCCTGTTGTTCAGTCACATGCTTTCCTGGGTTTCAGATTCTGCCAGAAGAATGAGCTCTGGGCCAAGCAAACGCCTGCAAAACAAAGATTAAACGAAAGATAATCTCTCCATGGTGCTCTTTGTTCTGAAGTGGTTTCCTGAAAATGTCCCAAGATGATTGATCCAAGATGACTCATCCAAGATGACAGCTCAGTAAATCTCAGGTATTTCTAGTCAAGGAGATAGAACAATTGTGTCTCTGATAATTCCAGGTGGTTTGGGAATATTTTCACTGAAGCAGCTTCATCATGCAAATATTCCTTTGCAGGAAAAATTGTACAAGAGGGAAAACAAAGGATTCCACCCCTGCGTAGGTGCTATTGAACACCTGATAAATTATCCAAAATGTATAAGAAGGTTCCTAATAACTGCTGGAAGTGCAAACAAACAAGTGGTCCTTTTTTTATGTGGTGGAACTGTAAGAAAGCAAGGGGATTTTGGGAAATGATATATGATGAGATAAAAAAAGGCTTAAAGTGATTACACACACACAAACACCTTAAGCTTTTCTTCTAGGGATTATAGGGTCAAAAGTTCCTAAAAAGATGGTTAAGTTGTTTATGTATGGAACTACAGCAGCCAGGATTCTCTATTCACTAAAAAAGAAAGGATAAGCAAGGTGATGGACAATGTTGATTCAGCAAAGCTAACAACTGAAATAAGAGAATTTAATAACTACTGTTTTATGGACGAATGAAAGGCTTTTTTAGGCTGTTTAAAGAACTGTTACAATACGATGAATTTGTGAGTAGGATTCGTATTGTGAGCAACAGGAATAATTAGAGATAGTTGTATTATTTCAAGAAATTAAAAAATCCACAAATTTCGTATGGAATTCCAGTACATAATAATTTTCACACACACACAAAACCAAAGCCCCCACCTTACAGATTAGTTCAGGATTTTAAACTAATTTTTGTTACAGAGAATCAGTCACTTAGTTATGCACATGACCCTGGTTCCCAGGGCAACAGGCCTTGCAACCAAACAGTAGATGTGGAACTAAAGTGGATGGGTCATCTAGCTTTGTGGGGACCCATCTTTGAGGAGACCTCAGCAGTTACTACAACTACTACAACAAATCCAGAATGTGGAAGCTAGACTGGTGACTGGGAGTGGCTGCCAAGACCATATAACACTGGTCCCAAAAGACCTACATTGGCTCCCAGGATGCTTCCGAGCACAATTCAAAGTGTCGGTGCTGACCTTTAAAGCCCTAAACGGCCTCGGCTCAATATACCTGAAGGAACGTCTTCACCCCCATCGTTCTGCCCAGACACTGAGGTCCAGCTCCGAGGACCTTCTGGCGGTTCCCTCCCTGCGAGAAGTGAGGTTACAGGGAACCAGGAAGAGGGCCTTCTTGGTAGTGGCGCCCTCCCAGTGGAACACCCTCCCACCAGATGTCAAGGAAATAAACAACTATCTGACTTTTAGAAGGCATCTGAAGGCAGCCCTGCTTAGGGAAGTTTTTAATGTTTGATGTTTTATCGCGTTTTTAATATTCCCTTGGAAGCCGCTCAGAGTGGCTGGGGAAACCCAGCCAAGATGAGTGGGGTATAATTAATTAATTAATTAATATTATTACTACTTATTATTATTATTACTACTATTATGATGATCTGGCTCTGACTGTTGAGCTCCGTGACAAGAATGGAAAAGCCACTCCATTTCTGGTCTATGTCAGATTTGCAAATGGTGCACTCAAAGGCCTTCCAAATTATAATATTAAAAGTACTTTCTCTCTCTCTCTCCTTTCTCTCTCACTCACACATAGCTATTTTAGCATTAATATATTCTTCTTCTGCCCCATGAAATTATACCGACTCAGAAGGTGCCAGGTTCCTGTCTGTTTAACATTCAAGGCACACTTCAACCCATTAAGAGTGTGTGTGTGTGTGTGTGCCTGCTTTGGCTGCATTGAAACACGCCGATGGCTGCATTGAAACTATCCCAAGAAAAGTCCCTGGTCCATCCGTCCCCCCCTCCAGCTTTCTTTCCAAGCGGCTGCTTATTAGCCACATGGTGAGCACAATTATGCTGCAGCTCAGCTTTTAATAAATCATTGACCACTTGGCGCTGATGAGGCTGCCGGCCTCTGGGTGTTCAAAGCGCCGTCTGCAAGAGGGAAATAAACAGGGAGCCATTGCCCTGTTTGAGGCGGTGTATGTTATCTTAAAATCTGGTCAAAGCCTAACGTTGAGGCGTTGGCTTATTCTGCAATCCCCACCTTTGGTGTTTCCCAGCTGCAGTTCTGGCATCCGATTGTAACTGGACTCGGGGTGATGTAATGCGTGCGGGCAATCTGGGAACTGAGAACGAGGAATATGGATAGTTAATTTGAAAGCGATAGGTCAAGGCAATGCTGGAAGGGCCTGTAAGGTGGAACTCATTTGCAGAGGTGCTCCAGTACAGGCGTCAGAATAATTAGCGTGCCATTTTATGACAGCTCGCAGCCACTACCGTAACAAGAGGCATGCCATTTCCTCGCTGCAACGGTCAGATAACGGAGAAAGAAATCTGCGCTAAATATATGAAAGGATCATTTGCCACCTCTAAGGTGAAGGCGAGAGGAGAAGGTTGAAAAGTACTTTCCGCAAGATTTGAAGGTATACAACCAACAACCTAATCTGAATTTATGACCCCGCTGCAGGAAGTGTTAAGAATACTGGGCTGGGTAGACTAATTACAGTGTTTGTCAAACTTGGGTCTCCAGCTGCTGTTGGACTACAACTCCCATCACCCCTGACCACTGGTCTTGCTAGTGAAGGATGATGGGAGTTGTAGTCCAACAACAGCTGGAGACCAAGTTTGAGAAGCACTGAAAGGCTAGCTTCCTATGTCCTAAACCTGTAAACAATAGGGCTGCCATACGTCTGGATTTTCCTGAACATTACCGGGATTTCAAAGGCGGAATTCATGTCCGGGGGGGGGGGGATTTCCGAAAGGTGGCGCTTTGTCCTGGATCTTATGCAAGCTCAACAACTTTTGAGATGTCCTGCTTTTACACTTTTTGGCAACCCTATCCAATGCTGGTTTATTACAGTGGTGCCTCTGGTTTAAGGTTACCAGGCGTCCCTGTTTCCTGGGGACGGTCCCCAGATTTACATATCAGTCCCCATACTGTGGTTTAGCCCACAGCGCCACCCGTGTCCCTGGGGGTGCACAATCAATAGCCATTTGAAAGGGAGAATTAGGAATGGATGTGCAAGAAACAGCACTGAACATGTGTTGACTTTTGATATTGCTCCATTACAAAACAAAGTCTTGAAGATTTGGAAAAGCCTACTTTCCTCTGGGGGAAATTGAGGGATAAGGGAACAGGTGAGCCTCCAGGTGGGGAACTCATGACATTCCATCTCCCATCAGCCTCAGCCACCATGGCCAGCAGTAATGAATGATAGGAGCTGTAGTCCAGCAACTTATGGAGGGCCACCAATATTCCATCCTGTGTCTGTTGTTTGCCCCACCTGGTGCACAGAGAAGAAGAAGAAGAAGAAGAAGAAGAAGAAGAAGAAGAAGAGTAGTTTGGATTTGATATCCTGCTTTATCACTACCCGAAGGAGTCTCAAAGCGGCTAGCAATCTCCTTTCCCTTCCTCCCCCACAACAAACACTCTGTGAGGTGAGTGGGGCTGAGAGACTTCAGAGAAGTGTGACTAGCCCAAGGTCACCCAGCAGCTGCATGTGGAGGAGTGGGGACGCAAACCTGGTTCACCAGATTACGAATCTACCGCTCTTAACCACTACACCACACTGGTACTACACCACACTGGTACACTCTGATACATAGAGCTACGCTGCATCTGAACTTGAAGCGATTCACTTTTTACAACAGGACTGTAAGCTGAATTAGTATGTACAGTACTCATTTCAATGGCATGCCTGTATTTGTGCTTTGAATCTTAAAAATGCAAAAAGCAGATGTCCCCATAAAAGCCCCCTTTCTTCCTCTCTTTTATCTCTTTCTTCTTAGAGCATTTAGCCACTATACCAGACCGTAGTTCACAAATCAATTCCATTGTGATTATTTGTCTCTTTTATAGAGCCCAGCAACAATCCTTCAAGCAGTCGGCACTATTTTAAGCCACAGGATCATAGGAAAGCTGCCTAGTGCTTTTTAAATGCACAAGCTTGCATTTAACATTCACCACAGATTTGCCTTTCCACGAATTCCTAGCACACATGACACAAATCCAAATGGTACTTGCCGATCAGAAGGTCAGCGGTTCGAATCCCCGTGATGGGGTGAGCTCCCGTTGCTTGGTCCCTTCTCCTGCCAACCTAGCAGTTCAAAAGCATGTCAAAGTGCAAGTAGATAAATAGGTACCACTCCGGCGGGAAGGTAAACAGCGTTTCTGTGTGCTGCTCTGGTTCGCCAGAAGTGGCTTAGTCATGCTGGCCACATGACCCGGAAGCTGTACGTTGGCTCCCTCAGCCAATAAAGCGAGACGAGCACCACAACCCCAGAGTCGGTCACGACTGGACCTAATGGTCAGGGGTCCCTTTACCTTTATCTATCTATATCTCAAAATAGCTCCCCCTCCCTGGCCCAATTTGAAAATTCAGAAACTGTGTCATACCAGCCTCCTCCTTACAACCTCCTCACACATACCGCAAGCTGCCCAAACTCCAAAATGAACGCCCGCCCCAAACACAAGGACCTGACTTTGAGTCCACATTTACAACTGATCTGTCAGTTGAGTGATGAGAGGATGAATTACCACTGGGAGGAACGCAGAGAGAAGAAATGGCATGGCGCGAGGACTTCCGAGGGGCGGCGCGAACGGCAATGGCGGTCCTCTTCTGAACGGGAGAGGAGGCTCCGCAGAAAACGGGTCGTCCGCTACGGCGAAGCGGAGACCCACTCCGGAAAACCCCAGGCAGTAAGAGCTTGGGGTCCTGAGGCTCGGTGGGCGCCTTAAGTGACCCTCCAAACGCAGAAGGAACCTCGTAAGGGGCTCCGGAGCGTGGAGGGGGGTTGCGGCGCTGAGAGCTGCTTCACAGTCTGCGGAGTGAAGCCGCGCTGCTGCTGCCGGTGAGCGCTGATCCTTTTTCCTGCTAAAACACGGATTCGGACGAAAAGCAACTCACTCGTGAGTAAAGACTGAATCACTTGAAATCAGAGACTTTATATGAAAAAATCTTAAATTGGCTTGAACTTGGCTGAAAGCGGAGAGACGTGGAAACAGGAAGTCCGTCTTCCGCAGCCATTGAACTTGAAAAAAGCAACTAAGTTGGAGGAGTGGAGGCTGAAAGAAAGAGATTTTAAACTTTACAGATCTAAGCATCTACTGAACCTGCAATTTAAAGTAAAGACTTTAAGCTAAAGACTTGGAATTTTAACTTGCACTTGACTTTCCCCCTTTTATTGGATTACAAATTAGAAGGTGAAACCCAGAGTCAGGAGCTGCCTGAGCATTGAGAAATTGAGCTGTCAGTATTGCAGATTTGGATACTGTATATTGGAACTTGCAACAATCTGAGGGTATTGAGACTTTTTAAATTTGAAACAATTTTTTTCTTTTGGAGATAAATAAGCACTGTCTGTAACAAAGTGACTACTTATAAACTCTGCTAAATATTTATATTTGAAGGCTCTTGGACATTAAATTAGACTCTGAAAGACATTTTAAGCTCCCTCTAGAGGATTGGATGAGAACAGTGACTTTACATTTACATTTACTTTCGATTCCCTTGTTGTTTGCTTGCTCTGGGCCTTTCTATTCCCATGGGAAAAACTCAGTGTGACCTTGACTGATAGACAACGTTGGAATGAGTGGCACAAGGAAAAGAGGAGAGTTAGACAAACAACTTTAACAACTCTAACCTCAGCCTCGCAGACACGTAGATCATCTGTACCTACTTTGCCCTCAGAAGTAGAACTTGAAGAAGTTGCCTTGCCACAGGCAAAAGAGGGAGAGGGTGAAGCAGAGCAGTTGCAATTGGAAGATATGGCCTCAGGAGTATCTGTTTCTGTTCTAGACAAAATCTTTGAAAAATTGGAAGCTTTGGACAAGAAAGTAGATGCGCAATCAGCAAAGATTGACAAAAATACAGAATGTCTAAATAAATTAACCATACAAGTTGTACAGAATACACAAGCAATTGGACAGTTAACGGAGGCCTCAGCAGAAAATCGGAAATTAGCTGAGGATACTAGACAAAAATTGGAAAATTTAGAGCAAGAGGTAAGACCACTCACCAAACAAGTTGGGGAACATCAGACTTATCTTTCCATGATAGAACTGCGAAATCGTGAGAATAATCTGAGGATTAGATCATTACAAGAGGCAGAAGAAGGAAATTTAACTGAGTTTTTGACCAAAGAATTTTCCAAGTTCTGGAATTTGGAAGAAAAGGATTTTAAAATTGTGTCGGCTTTCAGACTTGGAAGATTCACAAAGAAGGAGAGGCCCAGAGACTGTTTGATTACATTGAGATCAAAGGAGGAAAGGGATAAGATTTTGGGCCTACATTACGGAAAGTCACTGGAGGTTTTGGACAGAAGAATTGAAATTTATAAAGATATTCCAAGACAACTGCTGGATCTTAGAGCCGCTTATTCTGAACTTGCTAAACTACTAAGGAGCAACGCAATTCCATTCAGGTGGGAATTTCCACAAGGAATATCTTTTACCTTTAAAGGGAGAAAGGTCAAAGTTAGAACACTGGAAGAGAGAGACAAATTTTTGGCTACATACGGAGAGGACCTTCAAAAAGGAATTGAATTACCCTCTGGGCCTGGGGCAAAGCCAGTATCAACACCAGCACCTGGGGAACCTGAAGATCGAGAGAAGACACCACCCCTGGAGAAATAACCAGATAGATCCAGGATGTCTCTGCAATTGCTGAGTTGGAACATTAATGGTTGTAACATTCCGGAAAAAGGAAGAAAATATTTCATATATTAAAAAAGAACAATTGGACATTATCTGTTTACAAGAAACACATGTGACGAGGCTCCACAGAAAAGTGTTAATAAATAAAAGATTGGGCCAGGAATTTGTTTCGTCGGACAAAGTTAAGAAGAGAGGCGTGGTGATATATGCAAAAGAGAGCCTGTCACCTAAATTCTTATTTAAAGATGAACATGGAAGAATTTTGGCCATTGAGATACAATATCAAGGAGAGAAACTGTTGATATTAGGAATCTATGCACCTAACGAAGGGAAATCGGAATTTTACAAGAAGCTGCAGGGGACAATGCTGGAATATCTGGATTACAACAACATCATAATGATGGGAGACATGAACGGGGTCGTGTCAACTAACATGGACAAGTCACAAAGTCAAAATGTTACAAAAGACGGCAGACTACCTAAAACTTTTTTGAAATGACTGACAATATGGATTTGATTGACATTTGGAGGACAAAGAACCCACTAGGTAGAGAAGGAACATTCTTTTCTGAAGCCCAACTGACCTGGACAAGAATCGACCAAATATGGATTTCCAGAGGCCTGGCACCTAAGGTCAGAAAAGTGGAAATCTGCCCAAAGACCTGTTCTGACCATAATGCAGTAAAGATGGATATGACACTACTACCAACTGGATCCTTTAGATGGAAGATGAATGACAATTTGTTTAGAGATCAGGAAATTACCAAGAAGGCCCAAAAAGTTTTGAAGGACTATTTTGAGATAAACATGAACAATTCGGTGGAAAAAAGAATTGTCTGGGACGCAAGCAAAGCTGTAATGAGGGGATTCTTGATACAGCAGAATGTAGTAAAGAAAAGAACACAAAATGAGAAAAAAGATAAGATTTTGGACAAATTAAAAGAATTAGAGAAGAAATTAAGAGCGAACCCAAAGTCACAGCCAACTCTGAGAGAAATTAAACTCTATCAAACACAATATTCTAAACTGATAAATCAGGAAATTGAATGGAAGGTTAAATTAATGAAACAAAAAACGTTTGAGTCGGCGAATAAATGTGGAAAACTGCTAGCTTGGCAGTTGAAGAGAAGACAAAGATTAAACACGGTTACAAACTTAGAGGTTGATGGAAAAAACATTCAGAATCCAGTGGATATTAGAAAGTGTTTCCAGAGATATTTTAAAAAATTATACACCCAAGGGCCGCAAGACGAAGTTGAGATTAAACAATTTTTGGCAAAAAATGTACTATCTAAATTGTCACAAGAAAACAGGACAATCCTGAACTCTAAAATTACACGACAGGAGATTGAACAAGCTATTCAGAACATGCAACTTGGCAAATCTCCAGGGCCAGATGGGCTGACCTCCAAGTATTATAAGATATTAAAAGACTATTTGATACAACCCTTGATGGAGGTCAGCAATGAAATTATTGAGGGGAGAGGGCACCGGATTCGTGGAAGGAAGCGTTCATCACATTAATACCAAAGTCAGAAGCTGAAAAGACACAACTGAAGAACTACCGTCCCATCTCTCTTTTAAATGTGGATTACAAAATATTTGCAGATATTTTGGCAAGTAGATTTAAAAAAGTATTAAATGAAGTAATTCATAAGGACCAGGCCGGTTTTCTCCCAGGTAGACATCTGTTTGCTAACACAAGGAACATTATTGACATTTTGGAACTTCTGCAAACAGATATAAACACAAAAGCAGTTTTAATTTTCATAGATGCGGAGAAGGCCTTTGACAATATTTCCTGGAAATTTATGATGGGAAATTTAAAAGAGATGGGAGTGGGACGGGGTTTTGAGAATGGGATTGAGGCGATATATTCAGAACAGAAAGCTAAACTGATAGTTAATAATGTGGTCACAGAAGAGTTTAAAATTGAAAAAGGGACACGACAAGGTTGCCCTATTTCCCCTTTGTTATTTATTTCGGTTCTGGAAGTGCTACTGAACATGATTAGAGGGGACCGGTTGGTGGAAGGAATTCAGGTTGGTCAGAAACAATATAAACTAAAAGCTTTTGCAGATGACCTGGTTTTGACCTTGCAGAAGCCAGAGCCCAGTACGAAAAGAGTATTACAATTGATTAATGATTTTGGTCGGGTGGCGGGATTTAAATTAAATAAACAGAAAACTAAGGTTTTGGGGAAAAATTTGACTGATACAGAGTCAGAACGGTTTCAGAATGAGACGGAACTTAATGTGGTTAAAAAGTAAAATACCTAGGGGTAAACATAACAGCAAAAAATCTAAGTCTATTTAAGGATAACTATGAAAAATGTTGGGCAGAAATTAAGAGAGACTTAGACAGTTGGTCAAAATTGAAACTTTCTTTGTTAGGCCGAATTGCTGCTATTAAGATGAATGTATTGCCAAGGATGTTGTTTTTATTTCAAACACTTCAAGTTTTGGACAAAACGGAGTGCTTTCAGAAGTGGCAGAGAGATATTTGAAGTTTGTCTGGCAGGGCAAAAGCCCAGAATCAAGTTTAAGATATTAACTGATGTAAAACAAAGAGGGGCTTTGCCCTGCCGGACTTAAAGTTGTATTATGAAGCCGCAGCGTTCTGCTGGCTAAAAGACTGGCTACTTCTTGAAGACACTGATGTGTTGGACTTGGAAGGGTTTAATAATGTTTTTGGATGGCATGCATATCTATGGTATGACAAAGTTAAAGCAAATAAGGCCTTTAAGAACCATATTGTCAGAAAATCACTGTATAATGTCTGGACAAAATATAAAGACTTGCTGGAAAATAAAACACCAAGGTGGCTTTCACCTTTGGAAGCTAAGGCCCGAAAAGACCCAATATGGAGGCTAAATGGCCAAAATATTGGGAAATACTAGAAAAGATGGAGACAATTGGAAATTGCAGAGTTTGGAGAAAATGAAAGACAAAGTGCGAGATTGGTTACATTACGCTCAGATTAAAGAAGTTTTTAAAAATGATAAGAAACTAGGGTTCCAGGTGGAGAAATCGAAATTAGAAACAGAATTGTTAGAACCAAAGACTAAGGTACTTTCAAGGATGTATAACTTGCTGTTGGAATGGAATACACAAGATGAAATGGTTAAATCGGCTATGATAAGGTGGGCACAGGACATTGGGTATAATATTATGTTTGAGGACTGGGAAAAGTTGTGGAGTAATGGATTGAAATTTACTGCATGTAACGCTCTGAAAGAAAATGTAATGAAAATGATTTATAGATGGTATATGACCCCAGTTAAACTTGCAAAAATTTACCACCTGTCTGATAATAAGTGTTGGAAATGTAAAGAGTGCGAGGGAACGTTCTTCCACCTCTGGTGGACCTGCCCTAAAGTGAAGGCGTTCTGGGAAATGATTTATAATGAATTGAAAAAGGTATTTAAATATACCTTTACCAAGAAACCAGAGGCTTTCCTTCTGGGCATTGTCAGCCAAGGGGTGGCAAAGAAGGACCAGACATTTTTATGTATGCAACAACAGCAGCAAGGATACTTCTTGCAAAACATTGGAAAACTCAAGATTTACCCACACTGGAAGAATGGCAGATGCAACTGATAGACTACATGGAACTGGCTGAAATGACCGGCAGAATCCGTGACCTGGGAGAAGAGAGAATCGAGGAGGATTGGAAGAAATTTAAGAACTATCTACAAAAATATTGGGATTTGAGTGAATGCTAAATAAGATGCTAGACTAAATAACTGAGCACCACTTAACTTAGAAGTTTTTAAGAAAACAAGTAAGACTGTGAAAGTTTAACTCTTTATGAGAACTATAAGATTATGAAACATTGAAGAGATATAAGAATTTAAATAAGATGATAAATTGCTGACAAAATGTTATAACGATGAAAGTGGGAGCGGGGGATGTGAGGAAGTCCAAAGAAAATGTGAAACTATGTTATGACAAATGTTACATTGTTTATTATGTTTATATTTATTGTAAAACCCAATAAATTGCTTTAAAAAAAAAAAAAAAGAAATGGCATGGCGCATCTGCAGCAACGCAACCGGACACCTTCATCTGCCCCAGCTGCAACAAAACAGGTCTCTCTTGCATTGGTTCCCTACAGCCACAGCAGGCACTGCAACCTTCCAACCCTCCCAAAGGCATCACTCCTCCATTGTCTCCTGAGACAGTCGGGGTTTTGGGTTTTGACCCAGAGGTCCTGTACTACTGCAGCAGAATTCATTCAATAAATAAACAGCAAGGCATCCTTCATAGGTACTCTTTTATCAGTGGTCTTGCCAGGTGCACGGCCTGGGAGTCATTCTGGACTCACAGCTGTCCATGGAGGCTCAGGTCAATTCTGTGTCCAGGGCAGCTGTCTACCAGCTCCATCTGGAACGCAGGCTGAGACCCTATCTGCCCGCGGACTGTCTTGCCAGAGTGGTGCATGCTCTAGTTATCTCTCACTTGGACTACTGCAATGCACTCTATGTGGGGCTACCTTTGAAGGTGACCCGGAAACCACAACTAATCTAGAATGTGGCAGCTAGACTGGTCACTGGGAGCAGCCGCCGAGACCATATAACACCGTCTTGAAAGACCTACACTGGCTCCCAGGACATTTCCAAGCACAATTCAAAGTGTTGGTGCTGACCTTTAAAGCCCTAAACGGCCTCGGTCCAGTATACCTGAAGGAGCATCTCCACCCCCATCGTTCTGACAAGGTCCAGTGCCAAGGGCCTTCTGGTGGTTCCCTTGCTGCGAGAAGCCAAGTTACAGGGAACCAGGCAGAGGGCCTTCTCAGTAGTGGCACCCGCCCTGTAGAACGCCCTCCCACCAGATGTCAAAGAGAAAAACAACAACCAGACTTTTAGAAGACATCTGAAGGCAGCCCTGCTTAGGGAAGCTTTTAATGTTTAATAGGTTATTGTATTTTAATATTCTGTTGGAAGCCGCCCAGAGTGGCTTGGGAAACCCAGCCAGATGAGCGGGGTATAAATAATAAATTATAATAATTATTATTATTTAAGGTAAGTGAAATCCTACCTTGGAGAAGCTGCATTTCCATGACACCACCATCCCTTAAGGTCAGGATTCCATCAAAGCCATTAAAACAGGGATAGGGAACCTGTGTCCCTCCTTCTATAATGTTGGACTACAATTCCCAGCATGTCTTCTTATTTTCCATGTTGGCTGAGGCTGGTGGGAGTTTTAGTCCAGCAACTTCTTAAGACAACTCCAGGTCCCCCGTCTCTGCATTAAAGGCACTTAGAAGGCCAACTATCTTGTCCGATTGCCAAAATATTTGAAATATCAACATACCATCTGGTGACTGCTCACATCATTAAGCAAAGGTGCTTTATGAGAAATAGATATATGGCAACAGCAAATGGTTAGTAATTGAATTCAAAGGAATCACTGGCGGCTTTCCAGAGCTGCGCTAGCGGTAGTTAACCCTGCGGAAGCTCAGCAAAACCATCAATTAATCCATTAATGTTTGTTTGTTTGTTATGTGAGTGCCCTGCCCTTCTGCCAAGATATTCAGAGCAGCAACATACATGAGATTTCCACTTTAGGGATTTTGTGTGATAGGAGACAGTGATCATCCAATGAGCTTTGCAAACAAATGGACTGCCCAGGCATAACTTGGAAGATTCTGTTAGCCATCTAATTGTTAATCTGCTGTACAGCACCGCCCCCAAAGCCACTTGCAGATCAATAAAAACAAGACAGTTCCTGCTTTCAGTCTAAAACAGTGATGGCCAAACTTGGCCCGCCAGCTGTTTTGGGACTACAACTCCCATCATCCCTAGCTAACAGGACCAGTGGTCAGGGATGATGGGAACTGTAGTCCCAAAACAGCTGGAGGGCCAAGTTTGGCTGTCACTGGTCTAAAAGATGCAGCATAGAAAGTAAATGTATCAGGAGGGAGGAGGAAATAAATGAACGAGAAATGGAGAACCAAAACTGACAGATCCATCCACCCTTGCTCAGGGGCCAGTTCTTACTTAAAATTGTCACTTAGAGTTATAGAATTGTAGAGTTGGAAGGAACTCTCACGATCATCTAGTCCAACCCCCTGCAATGCAGGACTATGCAGCTGTCCCATACGGGGACCAATTCTGCAGTCTTGGCGTTATCAGCACTACGTTCTAACCAATTGAGCCACCTCTGACATTTGCAGTGTGGTTCTCCAGCCAAGTAATGTGTACAAAAATGCATATACAAAACGCATATGAATGCATATATTTTAGGGGGGGAAAACCACACAAAATATGTGTGTATTATGATAAATTCACAGGGGTGATTCAGAGCTGCATTTTCTTCATTTATTTCTTTTTTTAAAAAAGGTTGTTTTATTGCTAAAGCTGTATTACGATATTTGAGGCTACATTTCCTCAAATGTAATCACAGTAAACTTAAACTTATTTATTTTAACTCTGCATTGTGGCCACTGGTTTGAAGAGCTTTTTCCTGAACAAGTTGGCTATTATCCTTTTCTGAATGGCCAGTACAACACACACACACACACACACACACACACACACACACACATTTCCAGTTAATTCAGTACAATGTGACCTCAGCAATTCTCAACATCAGGCTACTAGCATGAAGTTCTGAACTTTTACAATTCCTGGCAGCGACCCCCACAAATACTAGAACAACCAAGGCCCCATTTTACAGGACTGGAATTCCAAGAAGCCGTATAACTTCTAGGAATGTTGCTATATAACATTTTCATGCTTTAGGGAAATCATAGCAATGAAATATGCTCTCCACAAGGCCAAAGTTTTAAAAATGAGACAGTAACACTTTAACGAAGCCTATCTAAGAAAACGATAGCCATATTTTATGCCATGGGTAGGCAAACTAAGGCCCGGGGGCCGGATCCGGCCCAATCACCTTCTAAATCCGGCCCGCGGATGGTCTGGGAATCAGCATGTTTTTACATGAGTAGAATGTGTCCTTTTATTTAAAATGCATCTCTGGGTTATTTGTGGGGCCTGCCTGGTGTTTTTACATGAGTAGAATGTGTGCTTTTATTTAAAATGCATCTCTGGGTTATCCATTTCAATCGATACAACTCCATTCAAATCTCCCATCAAAATTATCTTTCCATTCTCGAATTCCCAAAGCTTCTCTTCCAATTTCCTGTAAAATTCGGATTTGTTATTATTTGGGGCATACACTCCAGGGTTATTTGTGGGGCATAGAAATCCATTCATTTTTTTATTTTCAAAATATAGTCCGCCCCCCCACAAGGTCTGAGGGACAGTGGACTGGCTCCCTGCTGAAAAAGTTTGCTAACCCCTGTTTTATGCCATTGGAGGGGGTGGGGAAGAAACCTAAACTGAATGCAGTAGCCCATCCCACAGATCTTGTTATGCTTTTGAATCTTTCAGACTGTTTCACTGTTCTGTAGGCCACACGACTGTCTTTCTCTGAAGACCAAGACCAGCGGCAGAAAAATAAATGTTTCAAGCAGAGGCTACTAGGTTCAATTTCCAGGATCTCCAGTTAAATGGACAACTGTACCATCTACCATTGTGAATGGGCCAAGGGTTACTAGCATGGAGCCTACAAATGTTGTCAAACTACAACTCTTGCCATCCACAAGTATTGACATGCTGGCTGCGTACCACTAGGCCTGATAACAAGAGATTGCACCCACTACAACACAACACAATGCAACGCAACACAACACACCACACACACATGCCTTCCTGGGTGCCACAGTCCAGGTTTCAAGAAAGTATTCCTGGGTGAGAAAACCCCAGCAGAAATTTTAAATCAGAAAACATGCAGCAAACCACAGCATGAAAATATAAGACCTTTAAAATTACGCCTTGCGAGTTCCAAAACTTCCCTTTCCCCCAAAGCTTAGAAAAACAGCACAAGTTTGGTTAAGTTAGAGATTGTCTACTTACAAACTCCTCAATTCACGGGCTTTTTCCATGCAGCATTCAGAAAATACGTTGCCCAGGCAGTAAAACTAGGCTTAGCTATAGTGGTCCCTCAATTACTGGTCTAGGAACTCATGAGTGGCTTCACCTGCTGACTTCATCAGGTGGGCTTGAGGCAACAATGGCTTGATTACCTAGTTCCTCCCAAGGTGAGCCAAGCCCTCCAGGGCAGCTTACTCTATGGTATTAACCCCTTAATGTCTTAATTAGACTTTAGCATGTTGGTTATGTGAGTATGGTTATCCCATGCTTTTCTCCTCCTCCTCCTCCTCCTCCTCCTCCTCCTCCTCCCTGATGCTCCCCACAACTGAGTAGTAGATGTTTTATGATTTGTAGAGTTGTAAGGAAGAATGTGAGTGTGATCTGTAGTGAATCAGGTTGTGCCTTGATAAACGGGAGCACAAAGAGAAAAGGGATCTCCGACTCTAGAGATGTTTCAAAATGTGCTGCTGTGTTTTTTTGTGATTTTATTGCATTTGATTATAGCTTTGCATGGCATTGTCGTCTCTAGGCTTCATAGGTAAAGGTAAAGGGATCCCTGACCATTAGGTCCAGTCGTGACCGACTCTAGGGTTGCGGCACTCATCTTGCTTTATGGGCCGAGGGAGCCGGCGTACAGCTTCCGGGTCTGATCAGAAGGTCGGCGGTTTGAATCCCCACGATGGGGTGAGCTCCTGTTGCTCGGTCCCAGCTCCTGCCAACCTAGCAGTTTGAAAGCACGTCAAAGTGCAAGTAGATAAATAGGTACCGCTCCGGCGGGAAGGTAAACGGCCTTTCCGTGCGCTGCTCTGGTTTGCCAGAAGCGGTTTAATCATGATGGCCACATGACCCGGAAGCTGTACGCTAGCTCACCATAGTTTGTTATATATACTGTATTTGTTGTTTGACCGCTTAGTGATGGTCTTTAGTATGAAGTGGTATCTAAATATATATATATGAGAGAGAGAGAGAGCCTTATCCTCTATTAATTTGACTTATCAGTCAGTGGTGACTAGACGTGATGGTTGTGTACTTCCTCCAGGATTAGAAGCAATATTCCTCTGGTTGCTAGAAACAGCAAGTTTCACTGAGGTCTTGCTTGTGGGTTTCCCATGGGCATCTTCTGAGAACAGGATGCTGGACTAGATGAGCTTTAATTGATACAGCTGGGCTTTTCTTATGCTCTTAATCTTGCCCACAAATTTCTAAACAAAACAGTAGTGGGAAGGCAGTGGCAGGTTGAACTGTTTGTGATCATTTCAAGCAGATCTTATTAATAAAATCCATTATTCTTAGGTCCACCACTTTTTGAAGGTATTTAATAAAGCAGCATTAGATAGGGTTGCCAAAAAGTAAAAACCAGGACACCCCAAAAGTTGTTGAGCTTGCCTAAGATCCAGGACAAAACGCCACATTTCAGAATTTTTCCCCAGATGTCAATTCCGCCTTTGGAATCCCAGTAATGTCCAGGAAAAATCTGTACATATGGCAACCCTGCATTTGAACTGTAGGGCTGTGAGGGACAGACGAAGCAATGAATACCCTGAGGGGACTTGGAAAAGAGCAATTAATTTGGGAGTACATAGGATATGGGGAAAGGAACAATTCATTCTGTGGGAAATAACTAAGAGATAAATGTATTTCCAAGGTTGGGGGAGTGGGAAAAAGAGGAATTAATTCGAAGGTGGGGTTAGGGAATGAACAAACATTTATTGAGTGCAGGTGAGAGGAAAAGAGCCATGAATTCAGAACGGTGTGTTTGTTTCTATGAAGGAGAGAAAACGTGTTTGTTTCTATGAAGGAGAGAAAACCTAGCAGCAGTGAATTGTTTTCATATGGGAAGGTTGGGGATGACTTTCATAATACTGCAAATATCGGCTAGAAAGTTGGTAGAGATCCCCCCTCCCCCTTTCCATGTAATAACAGAATTCAGGAAGACTCGCACACCTGAGGAAATTGATTGGTGGTGGGTTCATGACAGACTAAATGTTTTTTTCTGAGGGGTTGCCTAATCGGAGATTAGTGAATGGCGTTTTTGCATATCCTCAGGGGCAATCTTTTTTAAAAAACAAAAAACCCAATGAGTTTTCTATTCAGTTCTTTTCTTCTAGAAAATAGGTGTCGGTACAGCGTACCCCTGAGTACTCTCAGGGAAAGCACTGATTTTATAACAATTCAAGGAGTGAACCCACTGGGAGCATCTTGTTGACCAAGGTGCCCTTCAAATCTGGAGCTGATAGTAAATACGGTACATTTGATTCAGCCATAATGTACAGAGCACACAAGTAACTGTTCCCATAACATAATCTATTGCAGCCCCAGATTTACAGCCCACCCCCTAAAGCTTGCTAGGAACCACTGCTTCAGTCCTGAGCCCATTTACCTGGGAATAAATCTAATACAGTGGTACCTCGGGTTACATATGCTTCAGGTTACATACACTTCAGGTTACAGACTCTGCTAACCCAGAAATAGTACCTCGGGTTAAGAACTTTGCTTCAGGATGAGAACAGAAATCGTGCTCCGGTGGCGCGGCGGCAGCAGGAGGTCCCATTAGCTAAAGTGGTACTTCAGGTTAAGAACAGTTTCAGGTTAATTAATTTCTTAACCCGGCGTACCACTGTAGAACTTACTGTATTTTCCACTCTATAAGACGCACCAGACCACAAGACGCACCTAGCTTTTGGAGGAGGAAAACAAGAAAAAAAATATTCTGAATCTCAGAAGGCAGTGGCGTAGCGTGGGGGGTGCAGGGGGGGGCGGCCGCACCGGGCGCAACATCTGGGGGTTAGGGTTAGGGGGCGCAAATCCACAGGTTTGGGGGCGCAAATCCACGGGTTAGGGGGTGCAAATTACTTGCCTTGCCCCGGATGCTGACAACCCACGCTACGCCACTGTCAGAAGGCAGAACAACAAGAGGGATTGCTGCGCAGTGAAAGCAGCGATCCCTCTTGCTGTTCTGACTTCTGGGATAGCTGCGCAGCCTGCATTCGCTCCATAAGACGCACACACATTTTCCCTTACTTTTTAGGAGGGAAAAAGTGAGTCTTATAAAGCAAAAAATACAGTAATAGTTTGGATTGTACTGTAAACTGTAAAAATATTACTAGGAACTGTGCTGCTCTGCATTCAGTAGGATTAATACCAGTAAAATATCTTTAAGATTATAGCTTCAGGCTGCAATCCCAATCCCATTTATGTAGGCAGAAACCCCACTGAATTAAATCGGACTTACTTCTGAGTAAGCAAGATTAGGGTTGTGCTGTTATACTCTTTTGCATTTGCCTAGTTTCTGACTTGCCCTATCTTTTAGCTTCCACCCACAAAAAGTTTCATCACTTGCGATTCAGTTAAGCAAAACTTGGACAGGAACAGCTGGAGGAACACCTGCCACAAGGCCTTTGATCTATTGAAATGCCACAACAGCTCCTAACGCTTGGGAAGTTTGCCTGGGGCAGGAAGCAGGCATGTAGGAAGCTTGATGCTGTCCAGCCGTTTCGCTGTTTCTGTTGGTCCGCACTGTGTTGACATAGCAACTGCAATGGTAGGTAAATTTGTCATCCTGATGGGTCAAATGGAGCAGGGAGACTGGGCTCACTACACGTTCTACCACGTTGTATGGTCTGCAGGTGTGTCTCAATATTTTACCTAAAATAAAGCAGATAAAACCCTCACTCCTCAGGTTTCATTCCTGTATTTTCAACATCGCTGTTGCTATTATCATTATTTTATTTATACCCCACCCATCTGCCTGGGTTTCCCCAGCGACTCTGGACAGCTTCCAGAAAAATATAGAAACATGATGAAATGTCAAACGTTAAAAACTTCCCAATACAGGGCTGCTTTCAGTCTTCTAAAAGCTGTGTAGTTCTTTATATCCTTGACATCTGATGGGAGGGCGTTGTAACGTAGTGTGGCCTACCATCAATATAGTTGGCAAGCATCTCATTTTTGCTTAATTTTTATGGCTTAATACATACACTCTCTAACACAGAGGCCTACTGCCATTGCAAAGCTATGACTGGAAAAGAACAGAATGGTTGCCCCCATAGCTGTCAACTTACAGATTTGAAAACAAGGGACCAGCAGCCTTGCAAATAAGGGATCAGCAGCCAAAATAAGGGATTTTCCAAGCACAGGTATGTTCAACTTCTGAGCCCCTCCAAGCCAAAGGCAGAAAGCCCAGCCAGCAGCCAAACGAAGCCTTAAGCGGTGGTTCCCACAGCGCAGCAATCCGGCAAAGGGGATGCAGCAAGGGAAACCACCGTCACCTCTCCGCTGGGAAGCGCTGAGCAAAGGCGAATCCCCAGGCAACGTGGCCGATTTGATCGGCATAAGGCATGCAAGCTCCACCCCCCCAGTCATTCTTAGACTCCTTATTGGGTGAGCAACGCAGCCAAGCAACACAGTTGGAGCCTGCCTCCTCCCTGGCCGGCAGGGAGGGAGGGAGAGGAGCTGCTTCCTTTGAAACCCGGGAAATTTAAGGGACATCATCAATAAGGGACAGCAGCGGGACACGGCGCAGGGATAAGGGACTTTGCCACCAAATAAGGGACGGTTGATAGCTATGGTTGTCCCTGGGCCCAGACTGTTTTTATTGCAGGTGTATGCAGCAACATGTCCTTAGTGCTTCAATAGTGCATTTGAAGCAGATTCATACTGAACTGCCCACCCATCATCCTACTTTAACAATTGCTGTTTTGTTCTTTCCCAGTGCTCCTGCATTGTTGCATTCATACCCCATCCATTCCCTTGTCTATGTTGCTGTCATCCCCAATACCATCCAAAGCACAAATCATAAGGAATGCAGAATAAAAACGACCTATAGAGCAGGGTCCCTCTTATTTAGGGCTGCCATACTTCTGGGATTTCCCAGATGTATCTGGGATTCATTCCTCAAAAATAGGCCAGCAATTTCTGAAAAGCGGTAAAAAAATGTCCGGGAAAACTTAGGTGTATGGCAACCTATGTCTGAAGTGTTGGTTTTTTTGGTCCGTTTCCTTATATTTGGAGTTTTTGCAAAAACTTTGGCCCCAAAAGAAAAGGGAAAAAAGCTTGACAACTTTTGTGTCTGGATTCTCACTTTTTGAAATACCCTACTCTTAATCTAGATTGTTGTCTCCAAACCAA